ATTGGATAATAGATTGATTTGCAAAGCTAAATGAGTCTTAAAATTATTCCATTCATTTAAAAGTTTTCATTCCTCCTCCTTAAAACACGTGCTTTTCTTTACTTTTCACGCACTTAAGCATTTAATTTTTATAACTGTTCTCTTTTCCATTTATTGTTTTGGCATGAAGTAAATAATACTATAACAAAACTTCACTTTAATGCAAAAATTTAAAATAGAACACAATATTTAATTAAACTAAGTTAAACATATTTATAGTTTTTTGACAATCGTATTTTTTATATTTATAAATCATGTATAAATTTTAAATATAAATTCAATCAATTTAGAAACGATATCAAGCTATATTAAAAATGGATGTGGTGTAATAAAGTTAAATGTATAAGTTAACTTGAGCTGTCTTAAATCTAAATCTAAAGGTAGGAGAAAATATTCTCTAATAGGCAAATATTAATTCTATATTGCAAATATTAGCATTTACTTTAGATAAGCATTCACTTGCAATCAAGCTAAAAAAATTTAGTTTTGAAATTATTAAGCTGCTTATCCTTATGAGACTCTAACATTGAATATGAAACGTATAATCATATAGATAAACTCTTTATAACATGCAAGCATTTGTTAAAAAGACTGTTTGTTTATTTGACCTTTCGTCCTTTTTGAGGAATATCGTTGTAAATTACGTGAAGATTAAATTGGGGAAAATGAAATAGTCGTTTAAAATTAAGGTTTTTCTCAGTTTGGTAAGATCAATTTCTAGTGACAAAAGGAGCCAAGAAGCACTTACGAAAGTGTAATGTATGAATCAAATTTCATAAAACACGTTGTCAAGGAAATTTCATTCACGAAATGTGCTTTTTTTTTGCATAAAAGCTGCCTATTATTAGTTTTTTCTTTGCAGAACTGAACAAAAACCTGAGCTTGAAATCTATTCTTCGCAATATGGCAAAATAGAAGGAGGGATATATTTCTCTGAAGTAATCGATGCACTACGCATAACCATTTTAGTCAACAATGCCCTGTCGTGTCCATATTTTCTGCACTTCGTGAGAATAAAAAAGCTTTTACTTTTTCTAAAAAATATTTCAAATGAAAGAATTCTGTTTGTATTACGTCAATTCAAGTACTTTGATAGCTGAAGTAAAACGTTACTTCGTTTTTAATTATAAATTTTACAAATGTAGGCAACAAAATAATTATTTTAAAGCATTTTAATGGCTATATTAAAAGAAATGTAATGTTGGAACCTGATAAAAGTTTTATTTTTATAAGTGATTAAGTACCGTTATACATTAACGAAACAATAGTTCATTAATGTGTGTTAGGTAACTAAATAGTGAGAACCGAGTGTGTTTTTTTTAATATTATTTTTGAATCGAAAATCCAAATTTTCTTAAACAGCACATCTAAAAACTTCTTCGATATATGAATAGTGTTTCGCTGAAAATAGTATCTTATTTTTTAATGCCGCCCTGTTAGTCGGGAATTTTGTTCTATATAGTTATACAACTATACTTTATGTAATATCGAATACTTCTTTAATAATTTCTTTATTATTCTTTATGTAATGGTGAATACTTATAGTATTCTATGATAAGAAATGTCAACTTTGCTTTTTATTTAAAAGCTTTAACTTACACAGGTTTCTCTATTTTGTCTGTGGAATTTTCAAGAATTTTGAGAACATTTTTTTAAGAGCAAAAGCTAAAACTTATATTAACAAAAAGAAAACACCTCATTTTGCATGCGGATTACAAGCGTATGAATGGTATAAACTTTAACTTTAAATTACATTTTCTCATAAGAGTGTTCTTCACGCTTGTATGCTTGAGAATTACTTCACTTTTCATTAAATTTATGTAAAAAATGAACCTCGTGGATAATATTTATCTGTTGATGCATGATATTTAATGCGTAATCTATGTTTAACTCATGTCAGCAGGCTTTTTATTGCATTTTGCGCATGAGGAATTAAATCTAACTTTTTAAGGAGTTTTCTTACATCAGCTCATTATCATTCAGTCATCTGTTTTCATTTCGTGAAGAAAAAAATCAACAACTATAATACATAATTTTTCATGAATTTTTGGAATTTTTAAGTAAGTTGGATAAAAATAATAAAAGGTCATTCCATTACTATTCAAAAAGAAATATTGTATTACCTACCATGTGCATTCTTAACTTCACAAGACTTTTTTATTAATTCATTTGACTTTATTTAAATCCATAAGAATAATGTATGTATAAATTATGTATGTTTTAAAATTATCATGCTATCCAAAATTCTCAAAAGTGTTCGAAGGTATCTTCAAAATAAATAAAAATTATTAAGATTTATTCATTTCATTATTAATTTCGTACGATTTTTATTACTGTTATATTTTATCTTGCATTACTTTTTTATTATTTCAAATTGATTAATTTCTGCATAAAATTATATTTTGCAAATTTGCAATATTTCGTTATTGTTCAAAGAAACATTAACATCCGTAGTTACTTTTAAAACTTCGATTTAAGTAATTAACACATTATTCAATAGCTTGCAAACTCATATTTAATAAGTACTATAAAATAAGTATACTATAAAATAAGAAATGCTCAAAGTAGTCTTTATTTATAGAATTTTCTCATAAATCTACTTTTATTTATTAAATCCATGTAGCCTTTTATAAACCATTTTAAAATCTTAAAAATAATGTAAAAATAATATACATGTATTTAATTACTATGCGATTCAAAAATATCATTAATATGTCCCCTTTTATTTAAAATTCTTTAAGCTTAATTTAAGATTAACTTTTGTTATTATATAATTTTATATAATATTTTTTTGTTATTGTTAGATAAGTTTTGCATTACTTTTTTATTATTTTACTGTAATTCATCAAATTTTGCATTAAATTAATGATAAACTTTAAATTTACAATATTTCATCAACGTTCAAATAAATGTACACATTTATAATTACTCTTATACACTTTTATATACTTCTACTTAAATATAAAACACATTATTCAACACCTTAAAATTTTAAATTGAAATATAAGTTTTGCCATCTATAAAATGAAAAATGCTTAAGGTTGCAAACTTTTAATATTTTTTTATGAATCTGCACTAATTTATTTATAAAAATTTCAGCTTAATTCATTTTCCTGATAATTCACAAGCAATATTTTCCTACACAAAATGAAAGAAAAACTAAATATAGAACCTGTGAGAAAGATTACGGTTAATTTCATTCTCAAAAATCCAAGGTCTTAATAAAAATTGTCATGTGACAAGGGAAGTTTTTCTTTCATTTTATTTCACCCTTTACCTGTCCAATTTTTCCTTACCAACATCTGTGAATCAGTAACTTTTCTCCTATTTCCGTGTACACAAAAAGAAATGTGTTTTTCTATCAATTCTGACTTCTCGGAATAGTTAGTTTTTTCCTCTTCTTACTTTATTCAATTTTCTGAGAATCAGATCTTTGCGAGGAAACATTCGTTAAAATGAGTGAATGAAATTACTGAACATTTGTAAGAAACTAATGAAGAAAATGTTCTACAAGTAATAAGTTTCAGAACTTTTTCTTCTATTTTTCGAATTATTGAATATTTAACATCGTATTTATCAGTTTTGTTTAAGTTGGAATTGTAGCACAACTAATTTATAATAAAATAATCTATTTTTCTATTCAAAATATATATTGTTGATAAAACTTAGTTTGCTTCATTTTTTCAGAAATATTAAACACGTGTTTATAGGCTTTTTATAGATGAAAACAATAGTGAATTTTTAAATTTATCTAAGTTTAATACACGTTTCCTGATTTTTTTTTCTATTGACAGGTTCCTAAAACTTATGAGAATTTATTTTCAAAGAGATATTCTTTATTAAGAAATTTTGTGGTAAATTCAATAACACAATTTGAAAAATATTAATAAAGAAAAATTATTTCTTTTAATTTTAACATATAATTTTTATTTATATCATTACAGTATGAAGAAGAAAATATGTTTATATAAATATAAAATGTTTTGAAGATATATTATGAGTTTACTGGGTTAAAAAAGACAGTTTAAAAAGTTAATCTTTAAAATATTTTTAAAAGTTTTGATGTCAATGTTAGTTCTTTTAAATTGATAAACATTCCTAAATATAGATAAATAATTAAATTAAAAAGTCTTTTTCCTAGAATTGAGTGCAAAAAATTATAGATATTAAATATTGGGTAATTTAAAACGATTAATATCGGTAGGAGTCAGAAATATATTAAGTACTTTTGAAGAAATGAAACTAAAACGTCTTTCCGCATAAAAGACTTTTATGGTACTAATAATTGAAATTAATAAGTTTTAATAATTTTATGAGACTATAAAAAAGAAAAACTGATGTTTATATAATTTCGATAAATTAGATATTTAAAGGCATTTTCTTAAATGTCAGTCATCCATTTTATTTGTATTTCTCCAACTTTTAAGCATCTGATCAAATTTTTAATGAATTCTGCACTTTTTTTTATGTAAAAATATGAACACAACCCTGTTTTAAGCAATTTAGTGACCAAAAGAGTACCAAAAAAATCATTGTCAAATTTTAACTGATAAGTACTTATTCTCTAAAGTTAAAATACGTCCATTAAATTAAAATAATCGCACAAAAATAATTAAATACATAAAAACTATGACAGTGAAAATGTGAATATAAATAGGACTAAATGCACTAAAAAAATTTAGTTTATCTCAACACCGAAAATGTTGGTACCTACTTAACACCAAATTTCTTACAGTGTATAGAGTAACTCAGGGTACCATACAGAGTGAACAATTTCTACGGTAGATTGCATTTTAATCAAAGTCACACTTATTAGCTATATTTAAAGCTCCTCTTGATTATAAAATGTTTTATACAATACGTATTTAAAATATGATTTTGCTAATTTTCATCATTTATTGAACTGAAGTAGCACTTTTTAATGATGCAAATACCTCATAACAATTTTTATTATATTATAGGAAAGAATGGATTTAGTTCGCGAAACATGGTCTGCTTGTAATCAATCTCCTCGAACCCCCTCATTGTGAAAAATGTTGAAACATTGTGAGGAGACAGCATGACCAAATTATACGAGTTCAACTGGCAACGGCCCGTTCCTCCTGTCCTCCTCAAGGGCTGCATATTTGACCGTTGGGAGGAAGTAAGTCTTTAACAATATTAATATTTTATAATTCATATTTATAATAAATTTATTATACTCAGCAGTTAGATATTAGTGTTTTATTGCCACCCTGAGAAAAAAAAATTTGAAAAATACAAGACTATGTTAAAATTTACCGTGTGTAAACTGGGGACATAAAAAGTCTTGCTAATTTTTAACGAAGCGTTGATTTTGGTAAAATTTACAAAGAAGCTTAATTTTATAATATGTGATAAAATTTGGTAATTTTATCATACCCTAAATCATGGTATGAAAATCATTTATTCGGTTCATTTTACTTCTGAATTTTGCAATTATTACTAAATGTGTGGTAATAAGAGCTATAATTTGGAGAACCAGAATTTCCGGCAAACCGCTTCCCCATGAACGGAATAATTACAAAATGAATGATTCAAATACCGCATATTTTGGTTTTATTGCTAGTATTGTTTTTTTTTTTTAATCAGAAATAACATTACCATACAGTACTGTAATTTTGCCAGATTTTTTTCTCCTAGTATGTTTGAATGACGTTTATGCATGTTAAAGGCTTCCTAAAGCCTTACCATACCTTTCCAAAAAGTCAAACTTTTTAATAGCCCTATATGAATTTTTTTTTATAGCTTAAAATGATTTGGAGAGTTGTATTTCATTCGAGAGTCATATTTCATACATTTTTAGTACAGTAATATTTTGTTCTATTCTTAATATTTTTTAATAACTCAAATGAGAAGCAAAACACGAGTTTTTCTTTTTTTTAAAAAATCGTTTATTATTGACTGAAAATTAAATTTTTTCTAATTATATCATTTCCTATCTCAGCATGCTTGACTAAACATTCAAAAATAAAGATCTTTTGTTTCCACTCATAATTTTTATGTTGCTTTCAACTCGTCTAGTAGTTACTTTCTGCACTTAAAAATAGTATCATGCATTGAAATGATTTTACAATTCATGGAAAAAATCTCAATGTGTAAAAAAATACATAAATTCCTCTCAGCCATTTTTAATTTGAAATTCATCCTTTCCATTAAGTAAGATTACAGTAAGAAAAAAGTTTAAAATAAAAATCTATGATGAAGAAGCATGCATTATTTCTTAAAATACCATGAACCTTCATAAGAAGTGGTGGAAAATATTCCATTCCGTATTTATTTGTTTATTAATTAATACAAGTAAATTAATAATTAATACTACTAAATAGCTAAATTGATAATTTAAAACTAAATACTTAAAAATGCAACCTCTAATAAAATTTTAATTTTACATTACAGTATTTTTAAATTAAAATTATGTATATCTTGCAATGTAAAATGCAAAGTTTTCAATCACCTTTTACAGGAAAAAGAACAAGCTGCCTATGAGCCTAATGCCTTATTTAAAGTGGATGAATACGGCTTTTTCATCTACTGGAAAAGTGAAGGCAGGGTAAGTTAAGGAAATTTCAAAATAACTTCTTTATAAAGCTCAAAAAATTTTAGAATTTTATTTAAATGGAACTATTCACATAATTATGCAATATTCTTAAGCTTCACATTTTTAATTGCTGGTTCATTTTCATTTTGTTTTTTTGAAAACTCTTTACAATATGTGCTTCAAATTTAAAAGTAGCACACACTATTTTAAATTAAGTTTAACAGCTTTCCTTTATTTAACACTTTCCTTACACTTTAATGATTTAACATGAATTGTCACGCTAACAATTTTTCTAACTAAGATTATTCCTGTTTAATTCATTTCTTAACTTAAGAATATTTAATTTGCGATTTGTTCGATGCCAAATGAAAGAAAAAAGTTGTATTTTAAAAGTTATTTTATTAAGTCAAAAATAAATTAAATTTTTAACTTAAACAAAAGTCTGAGTAATTAAGAATGCTCATTCCAAATACTAATTCGTTACCCACTTCTCAATAATTTTAATATTACCTTTTTTTACCCTCAAATTGCAAACACTTTCGTTTCAATCTCTATTAACAAATAAGGAACTTTAAAATATTTCGATTTTGTAAGCAAAATTGTAAAAAAAAAACGCATTTAAAGAACATAAAATAATCTTTATTTGAAATTCTAAAAGCAATTTTTAAAAATTAACCATTGGTTTTATTTATAGGATGGTCAAGCCCTTGAGCTGTCCCAAGTGAATGATATTAGAGCCGGTGGAGTTCCTAAAGTGAGTATGATATATTTTTAAACACAATAAAATATAACCATTCTAACTATTAGAGTTTTTAGAACGCGTGAAACTAAAATAAAGATTTAAATCAAAATTAACACAGATTAGATTTTTTCAAGTTTATGATAAAATAAAGTAATTATGATAATCAGCATGGCTAACAGATGTTGTCATGGATCGAGAAGCCAATTCAAATCTAAATACATAAGTTGTGAAGCAAAAATGCCGTTCTATAAGACACTAGGGAGACCAATAGTTTTATATGGCAGTGATTGCTGGGAAATTAACAAAGTAGGCGCAGAGAAACTGATTACTTTCGAGAGAAAAATGTAAAGAAAAAGCTTTTGGTGCTGTAACAGAAAACGGAACCTGGTAAATTCGTTATAACCATGAATTACAGTCAAAATACGAAGGACCAAACATAGTAAAAATAATAAGATTTATCAAATAAGATGACAAGGACATGTATTTTGATGTAGTGATGAAAAACCTAAAAATAACCTTCCAAACACCAGAGGGAAAAAGAAAAAGAGGAAGACCAGGAACAAGATAGGTAGAGAAGTAGGAGTAGAGAAGTAGTTAAAGGACTTGAGAGCTAATAGATGGACAAGTATAGCATCGAATAGATCTAGATGGGATAAACTGACTGAGACGACCTTGGCCGGTGAACGGCTATAGTGCCTAAGAAGAAGAATTCTTCTTAATATATGACGGGTTTGGCTGATTATAATGATTGATAAACTATTTCAATCACAACAAATGTTCATAAAAATCTTACGAAATTTGCGTAGAAAATTTTTCATTAACTTTATTTACAAATTGCAACTTTTTGGAACAAGCGAAAACATTGTGATCTTATTATCAACGTTAAATATACGACCAAACTGAGAAAAAAATACAGACAAAACCACCATAAAATGGTAAAATGTACATTTCTAGCTCTTAGGGACCACCAAAAACCTCGGTAATTTTTATCGAAGTGCTTTGGTAATGATATGATTAAAATTATCAATATAATATGATCTTATAGTGTAATATGTTATGGTTCTATAGTATAATATGTTAAAAGATTTTATTATTGTAGAAAACTTTAGTAATTTTATCAAGATTATTTAGCATGGCATAAAAACTATTTATTCGGTTAAATTTACTTTTCAGTTTTGTATTTTTTACTAAATGTGTGTTAATAAGAACTATAATTTTGAAAACCATAATTTCCTTTAAATCGTTTTCATATGAACGGAAAAATACCATATATTTTGATTATATTAACCAGAACTCTGTTTTTTCTCCATAAATATCATTCAGTACTGTTATTTAACCAAAATAATTTTCTCCGAGCTGGGAGGACTAATGTAGTAAAACATTCATGTGTTTTAAAAAAAGTATTTCTTGTAACATAAAAAAGAAATTGATTTAATTTAGCTTAGTTCAGAGAAGTCTTCGCTCATTTGATATAAAATCTCCAAAAAAATTGCGTCATAATTTTTTTTCTTTCAATTTAAACTAAAATAATAGCAAAATTATTTTTTTTGAAAATATATACTATTATTAACAAAAATACTAATAGTTCCAAATATTAGCAAATTCAAATTATAAGTTTTTCTATCACAAATCGGGTTACTTTCTCTGAAGCTATTTTAAAATCTGTCGTTTGTTGTGATGCAAGACTTTTTCACACACACACACATCTCTCTTTTAAATGCTAACTGTAACTTCACTCACGCAGTAGCGTTTTTCACAACCCTTTCAGAAAAGAAGTCTCTGTGGAGTTAATTAAGCATAAAATCGATAAACTGTTGACCGTTAAGCCCTACTAGAAGATTAACCTATAGCTCAGTTTAGTTAAGTCGAGTAGAGCACATGGCCGACTTTTATTTCGCATGGGAAAAGGTGTGGCTCATGATATAAAATAGGAGACTGCTATAATAAAATGTAAACTTTGATAATTTAATAACTAATTCTACTTACATTTTTATTTGAGTGAGCACGTTCAGCATTGTATTCCAAATCAATATCATTGTAACCTAATTCATTTGGTATATTTTCAGAATATTCTAAAATCTCATGTTAGCTTTTTTTAATTTTTGAGATAAATTTAGCAAAAAAATTTTTAAATCATAATGCATGCTGTGAATAAGTTGAAAATTTGCTATCTAAGAATTTTTATCATACTGCAGAGTTTTTATCAATCTGCTTAACTTCAAGGTCTTCAAAGTAGAGCATTAAGTATTTAAAGATTATTGTCACTCTTTAATATAACTTAAATGTATGTAACATAATTTAAATAAATTTATAAAATGTAAAAAAACCGGTAAAATTACGGTAATAATGCTTTAAGAGCATTATCAGTAAAATTCATTTTACCGTAAAATACATCGTTACCGTAAAATCTATATTTACCTTAAAATCCATTTTTACCGTAAAATATTATACCGCAGTTTTTATAGCAATATATATCAAATTAAACTGATTCAGTGATTTCATGCTACATATCTCTTTAAGAACTACGGTATGTCAGGTTTTTTGTTCCGTAACATGTTCCGGTAAAATAGATTTTATGGTAAAAAGTACCAGCACCTTGAGTTACGGTACTTTTACATTACGGTACATTTTTACAGTAAGGTTCTAATAAAACCATATAAGTTAAGGAAAGAATAATAACGCAATAAAAAATATTATTCACAGTTTTAATAAGAGTTATAAAATATATAATAGTAATTTACGTTACATTACTTCTAGTATTGCAGGTTTTATGATTTTCATGTTTTATAAAAATAACATAAAAACGTTTTCTAAGTTAAATCAGATGCACGGTTAATATAATTATATACATCCTGTATATTTTGATTTAAATAGCTCCAAAAAAATTTTAATTATTAAAATTTATGTTCAATTTAATAAAATATTTTGAAGATTAAAATAACCCCGCAACGAAAACAGAGCTATAAAAATTTAATATTTGTGTTTCTTAAACTATTCGAGTGTTCTTTGCTTTTAAAAATTGCTCTATTTTAACGTATATTTCCACGCAGTTCGAGAAAATAATATAATAAAATAAACTTTTAAACCCGATGATTTCGTAATTTAAATTTTTTTTCGAATTGAAAATTCTTTTTTAAGTTATGTTTTAAAAACTTTATTCAACAAGAAGTGCACACTGAGAAAAAAAATATCGTCAAAACAACCAAAGTGTACTGTGTTTATATAGATCGATGGGAATACCAAAAAGCTAGGTAGTTTTTTCGCTTTGGTGATGATTAACAATTAACATTAACAATTAAATATAGTTGAATAATAATATAACTATATTAACTATATTTAATATAGTTATAATATAGTTAAATAATAGTATGTAAAATTTCGTAATTTTATCATTATACCTTAGAACATGCTATATTTACTTTGCAGTTTTGTATTTTTACAAAAATGTATGGTTATAAGAACTCTAATTTTGAAAAACAGAATTTCCAGTAAACCGTTACCATATGAACGGAAAAATTGTCACATGAATGTTTCAAATACCGTATATTTTAGTTCTCATTATTGGAATCATGATTTTTTTAATCAAAGATGTCATTACCATATAGTATGGGGATTTTACAAGAATTGTTTTCTCCGCGCTGGTTTAGGGTTTAAATTTAAGCCATATATTAAAATTAGATTCAAAATCCGTATTTGAAAAAATTCAAAATTCGTATTTGAATTATACTTGTTTACATGAATACCTTGCTTGGATTATATTTGATTGTATTAATATCCTCTTCAAACGTTATTTGAATTATACTATAAACCTTCCTTAAAACTTTTGAACAGTAACATCTAAAAGGTATAAGCAATTTTTATCAAATGGGAAAAAAAGACCGTGAATCAAATTTAATTAGCTTTTATTTTTTATTTTGTTTTAATTTAACTTGCTTATTATGGTTTTTTTCTTGCTTTTAAATTTTTCTACCTTATGTATTGTCTTAATTTGACTAAAAACCTTTACATAAAATATATTCGCTTCTCTATAATCATATAAATTGTTTTTAAACTGAATTATAAATTAAAATTTGCATTGTCAAAATGATAGATTACGTTTCTTTTTTTTAAAAAAATTTAAGCCATAGTAACTTTAACAGGTTGAAAACTACGCAATTACGAATTTTTTTGCACGCAATTTCGAGTTTTATTGTAATTAATTTTCCTTATTTCAAACATAAAAAGATAAAGCTACCTATCAATCAAATCAAGTTCATTATCGTAAATATATTTTTTTATTATTACTTCCTTTTATTTTTCTTGTCCTGAATTTTGAATAAGTGGTTGATTATTTTTCTTAAAACGTATTTCATGAAAGATATTAATAGCTATGTTTCAAAAAATTTTATGTAGGATTTTAAGAAAAGATTGAGTACGAGAAAATTTCCAGATTTACATAACACTTATACGTTCTGTAAAAACTTAAAACTATAAAACTCAACAGTAACAAAATGATGTATTGTCATTTTATTGCTATTCAAGCAAAACCTGAGTCTTGCTTTTAAATGACAATTAAAACTAACAGAATAAATGAGTTTTTGAATCACATAATTTGAAAAAAATTCAAAATATCCTTTTAATTTTTATCTTTTCAGTTTAAAATATCCTTAACAAAAAAATCTTTTAACTTAAAAATATGTTTCCTATTTCCTAGGTTATTAAAAATAATAAGAATAAATTGAAAGGCTTGTAATAATTTTTACAAAAATTTAAAAATGGAATTCAAGTAGTTATTATGAAATATCATAAATTGTTTCATGGAAGAAAATTTTTAATATTTGCAAAACTTATGGCACCCAAATGTGAAATTACAGCAACTTCAAATAAATTATTCAAAGTGAAATATAATATAACTTACGTAAAAAAATAAACATTTGATCATTTGTTGATAAGCGATATATTTAACTGTAAACTTTGAAAAACGTAACCAATGAAATTTTACTTTCATGTGTAAGACTTTATATTATATTAGGCATAAGAATTGTATATTTTGTACTTGTAAAAATGCTTGAATTTTTTGTATATGCAAAGGCATTTGTACTTATTTATTACTTTAAAAGTTATACTCATGTTTTTGCAAACAGGATGCAAAACTACTGACTGAGCTACAGGCCAAACATAAAGTCAACTTAGAAGACATCAGCCTTACCATCTGCAGCGGCTCAGACATGGTTAACATCAACTACACTCACGTCATCTGTCCTGATGTAGATACTGCAAGGGTATGTATGTGATACTTAGAAACATAAGTAAACTTTAAATAAATAATTAAAAATAGATATTTCTAATTTGATAAATGAATCTAAATTTAAAATTGAGAAACCTCTTTTAAGAGATTAAAAAAACCATGCATTAAACATGTCAAGACAAAGGAAATATTAGATAAATTTGTTCCAAAAATGTATGAATAACGTAAACTTTTTGAGTGCATAAACATTCATCGCCAGATTTTTTTTAAATTATTAAATGTATTAATACCACTTTATGGGAATAAATACATCAGAAACCTTCGATTGTACTCGAGCTAGCAAATGAGCAAGGCGAATATCTTATTTACGCAAGAAAACACTCCTATGATGTTTTAAATTCACCAAAAAATTATGTGACGATCAGTACATTTCGAAATTTAATCAAAATAAAATCGTAGATATTTGTATGACTTGCAATGCTTTTATCAAATCAGTTTCAGTCAAATCCTCTGAAATGTTGTGGCCTTTATATACTTTCGAACTAAAAGATTTGCGAAAGTTATAGCCATAAACAACTTTATAATTAGGTTTCATATCTTAGATTACGTGTATAACGGCCTGGTAAGGTTTTGTATTAAACAAATTTCTTCTCAAAAATATTTGTTATATAATAATTATTCATGTATCATAATAAATATAGTCTATTAACTATATTATATGAATAAGAAAGCCTAAAGTTTTATATTTCTCGGTTCAGTCCAGAAATTTCTCAATGAATTTCAGTTATTCAAATTATAATAACTGGCTTCAAAAATTATGCTTTATTATGTATCATAATAATGAAAATAAATTGTTGTCAATGTATTTCAATATCTTATCCATTCAGTAACAGCAAAGCATTATTCATTTCAGTAATTCTACCAAATTTTCAGTATCATTTCTGTAATTCAGCCAAATTTTAAGCAAATCTATCAAATTCGGTTCAATAAATCAATGATAAATCTTCATATCATTCACTTTATGCAAGAAGAATGTTACGTCTTTCCCCACATTGACTAAACTGGTTTTATTTGTTTTTTTTTTCATGGGTTTCGTGCTACAATTTAACCCCAAAATAATACCTCTTTTAACATGCATATCCTAAGAAGATACTCTCTGATGCTTGACACATGTTCTTTACTCATTTAATTTGATCTGCTCTCACTAAAACTATTGCTACGCTAAGGTGTCATCTAAAAACGTGACAATTGCCTTTGAAAAAAAGAACTCGTAATTTATGTTCGTTTAGACAGCTCTTAAGTTTCTTCTCTACTTATGACCTCTACACCAACAAAGTTTCTGATATCGCACACGAAAACAAAGCCTATTTGACTCCGAATAAAATCATGAATGCTTAAAATTCTGAGTACAGGCTACACCCTTCGGTTCCTTAAGCTAATGAGTCTATTTAAAGGACATTTATCCACTGCTAACACCCCCTTCCACCTCCATGCAGTTGTTTCGTTTCTGCAATAGTGCAGCTATAACTGTGACCGTGTTTATGTTTTATTCATCCGGTTGATGACGGAAATCCTGAGCACGCTATCTAATTTCAACTTTGAAGTAAGCCCACCAAGCGATATTCTTATTTGTTTCCACGTTCTGAAAGAGCATTTTTTAAGACTGTTTTTTTATTCCTTGTAAAATGAGAGTTAAAAATGTGCATCTAATTTTTTCCAAAAATGATGCAAAAATATTTTTATTGGTATTATCAATTATACATAAAATGATAATAAACTAAACATAAAGATACCCAAGTCGCAACTTATGAATGATCGCATTCTAAATTCTTGTCATAATCGTTCAATTCCAACTTTTTCTTTTCAATAAAAGTTAACTAAGCAATTAAATAAACAAAATCCAAATATTTTTTTTTAAAAAAAGCACATTGTTTTACACACCTCATAATTTATTCTGAAATTTCTAAAATGAAAAAAAATTTTAAAAAATATCTACTTCTTTATTTAAAAAAAGCATTTATGAAGCAATAGTAAAACTAATGCAAAAAAAATATTTTTGGCTTAATTTGTTGTCTTTTCAATCTTTTTACTCTAAATTGTTTTTTCTTCTCTAATGTTAAAATTTAATTGCGCGTTAGTTATACAGGTGTAAAAAACTTTAATAGAGAAATTTAGATACATTAATTGTCAAAAATTATTAGCTATTTGTAACATTATATCCTAACGACAAATCCAAAAAAAATTATTGACGCAAAGTAAAAAAAAATTATTGACGCGTTGAAGATGATAAAAAATTCATATTTTTAAACTTGTTGATAAATTATATTGCATAGAAGTTATTATGTTATAAAAATGTAACATTTTATAAAAAATGAACTATTTAAAACTTACTTTACTGTTCTTGAAATTTAATAATTTTCAATGAAACAAGCAAGACTGCACATAACACAGAACCATTAAAGAAAAATTAATTTCTCTAAAACAATGGTATGAAGACAAAATGTGCTATATTTTGATGATACACGTAAAAGTTATAATAAAAGCTAGCAATGATATTATTATTTTCGAAATTTTGCCAAATCAAAGTTGTCTATTTTACTTAGTTCTGCTTTTACTTCGTAACTAATTTATTTTATGTATATATTTATCTAGGAGTGGCAAGAATGTCTTCGTTACATCACTAACAATATCAAAGCAAACAATGTTTGCCCCATGACATGTCTTAAAAAGCAGTAAGTTTAAATAGCAGATTTATAAATATTTTTTAGAGTATTGCAAAACTTCTGCCAAGTACGAAGTGTTTTATTTAAAATAATTTCCCCATTTTTATTTATAATTCATTTTGTCTCAATTAAAACTTTGGCTTAGTAATAATAAGTAAAGCTAATATTAAGTAAAGCTTAATAAGTAAAGCTAATTACAGATACAGCAGTGTAGGAAATAATATCCAATGGTAAAAACTCTCCCTTCCCTTTGTCATTGGGGTGACTGTGAAAAGATTGTGAGATCTTTCTTTTCCTCAGGAATTAGTTTCACTTAAAGAAAAAAAATTAAAATAAAAGCCCATTCCCAGAGGAAATTGTACCGATACAAGTTGCATTGTTAAATAATCAAACCCGTGGTGTTATGTTCACTAAAAAAATATGAAGGTAACAAAATCGTTAATGCATATCGGAAACCCGGGTATGCCTAAATAAAACAAACCCTTTAAGGCTCCTTAATGGAAAACGGTTTGATCTGCTAATTTACTCATGTATTCCATCCTTTACTGAGGTGAATTTTAAAGCTACGAGCTTACGTACTTGAAAATTAAGAACCAAACATTGGATATATTATACATCATTAAATTATGAACATTCGAAAATTTGAAAATTTCGAGCAAAACGGATCAATACTAGAGATAACTTGTTTATTCGATATTCTAATACTGCTCTGACCTTGTATCGACCCTCATCCGATAAAAATTATCGACAGTGATTTACTTTTATCATTTTGCTATCAGGTAAACTACTACTTGGTATTGTTCTGATGGTTTGTTTCAATCAAAAACCAGGAGTTCTTTTGTCTTCCGGGCTTGATTTGAAATTATGAAGTTGCACATTTAAAGATATTATTGGCTGTGTAGATCAGCTACTTAACGCAAAACTGATCATTTAAGTATATTTAAATTAGGACCAGAAAATAGGTATTTTTAATCCAAACATGTTAATTAGTAGAATATTCAATCTAGCAAGAATGAAATTGCATTCATGATAGTACGAAATAATTCACCTTCGCAATCTAGGTTATTTAACATTTTATCATCCGCTTATGAAAAATAAATTTTTGACGCATCGTTGAATGGTGAAAATTATTCATTTTATAGCTCAGTCAAGAATTACATCAGCAAAATGGCTTTTTTTCCGATCAATGACTCGTGAATAAGCTTTTGGAAGTCATTTTTCATCGAACTTATGAAGTTAGGAATTCATTTCTTAACTTTCATACTCGCATGTATAATAAAAAAGTAACTAATAAAAGCTCTATTGGTAAAAAAAAAGAAAATTGTGTGAAGCTGTGTCAATCAAAATTAAGCCTAACTTCTGTTGCGGGGCCTCTTTTTTTATCATTTCTTTTTTTGAGAAAAAACTTTATCATAAAATTTTTGAATTGTTAGGTTTTGAAAATATTTGACCTCAGCGCAGGAAGGTCATCGAGGATTGAGTTTATAGTTAAGTGTTTTCTATTGCAAATAGCGTTGTTTCCTATATACAAAATTGATTTGTTACTATATCCGATATACTTGTCTCCATACTGTACTGGATATATTGATTTAATTAATTTTTTAATATTAATTTTATTTTCACTAAGTCAAGTACAATAAAGCATTATTAATGCATAATTCAAGATGTTTGAAATCTTTTTTTTTAATTTCGATTATCGAATTATACTGTTAAAGTAATTTTATATGCTAAACTATATAATCATATTATTTTCTGCTTATGAATTATAATGCAAATGATAACTCTTTATTATAGTTGGATGAAGCTTGGATATCTTGTAGACCCTGAGGGAAAAATGCCGATAAAAAGGTTAGGTTCGAATCTCCTCTAAAAAATATTTTTAAAATGTTTGCATGCAAATAATATATTTTGTAACAAAATAAATTTAATTTATCCAAAACCTCTTTCATCCGAATACCTCTGTTTACTAAAGCAAACTCTAAAGTATTTTTTTTTTCAAGACATGATTTTGTTTTTCTTTTCTCAATTTCTATATGTCTTATTTCATCTATTCTTCAAATCTACAAACTAAAAAGCACTCCTAGCATTGCCTAAATAAAAAGAATTTTTCATTTTATGTGAGTAACTAACAAACGGTTCGTTAATTTTTTAGCTTTAATTTTACTAAAGAAATCTGAAATTCGTTGTTTTATTCATTTTTCGTTGTTAATAACGTAATTTAGTTTGATTAGCATAGTTTATACTGTTGCGAAATAGAACTGTGTTATGTAATGTGTGAAAGGAATATATAATATCGTAGGACTAGCGCAGTGTTTCCCAAAGTGTGGTACGCGTACCCCCAGGGGTACGGGAACAGTTTGGAGGGGTACGCGTTCTTATGCGAAATATCTTGCAGCAAACGAAAATTTTAAAAAATATTATTCAAAAACAAAGCTAGCCCTGAAAATTTACGATTGCGTATTTTTCTATTGGCTATTTTTCGCAGAGTTAACAGTTATTTAGTAGTGACAACAGCCAGTTATGATTCTTAACTTTTGTGCAATTTTTTTATAGTAAAAAATACATTCATTTTTTTATCAGTGATGCACAGCGTTACGAAAAATTTAGAAGGGGTACACAAAAGTTATAAGTTTGGGAAACACTGGACAAGTTGAATGGAGAGAATGCTTAAAATGCTTACAGAGGAATATAAATCAACTTCAAATTCAACGAAATCTGCAAATGATTCATAATTACATGCCACTTTGTACAAATATTTATTCAAAAAGAGCAAAGAATTGCGGCAATCTAGAGCAATAGTACAAGTGAATGTCAAGATAAAATATCTTTATGTTTATTGGACAAAAATACGTTTTGTAAGTGTTCATATTAAAACTGAATAACCCTAAAAGAGTAATATTAAATATAGTACTAATTTTAATTAAAAAAAACTTGATGCTTTGAGTTACTGATGATAATATTACTTCGATTCAGTTCCAATTACTTCAGATAACTGAGATTCTACTTTATTTAGGAATCGATTAAAATAAAAAAGAAAGAACTTATATTGAGGAGGTAAATAGAGTGCAGGATTAGGAGTTCAAAAACAGAATGACAGCAAAAATAATAATTACTTTTTCGATGAAAGTTAATAAAGGTCACAAAAAATAAATCATACATCTCATATCTTGCATTTTTTGTTTCGAGAAGGTATATGGTAAGCACAATTCTTTAGCATAGCAAATAGTTTCTTCGAATTTCCTCAGCAAGTACATAAAAATAATTAATATCTGATAATAAAATGTAATTATTCAAATACTTCTAAGATTAAATTATGGAATGGAACCGAATACATGTTTCTAAATAGCATGTTTTGTAAATCAAGGTTATTCAAGAACAAAATTTCTGAAACGCATGTTGTTAAATTTTAAACTTTTTAATTGATTTGCTCTTCAAAATAATTTATTTTTTCAGGATAGCACAAACATTTGCCTCTGGTAAAACAGAAAAGTTAGTCTACCAATGTATTGGAGAAGTCGGATTGCCCAATGGGAAAGTGAGTAGAACAGATTTTTCTTCCTTAATTCTTAAAATAAAAATTCTGAATTGAATGTAGTATTTTTATTGCTAATATTATTTCAGAATGATGTGATTGATGGTAAAGACTTCACATTCGAAAAGTTCCATCAACTGTATAACAAGCTATGCCCCAGAGGAGACATCGAAGAACTTTTTAAAAACATGTACTTTCCTTTTGTTATTATATTTATTTCAAAAATTCTACTACTTATTATAACTTTTGAAAATAGCATGTCTTAAATTTGGGACAAAATAAACAGTAGAACGCATACTTCGCTTAAGTAATTATTAAGCTCTCTATAGTAAACCTTTTTACATTATTTGGAGCGTTGATCTAGTTCAGCAAACAAACGAAGACTGATCGGTAGAGGAGAGCAAAATCTTTTTATTCTATAAAATTTTCCAACATTTCCGTCTAGTGCGCTATATTCTTTTACTTAATAGGATTAGCCTAAACAAATCTAAAGTAATTGATGAACGAAAGGAGCGTCAATTATTTTTGTTAAAAGAAAAAAAATGTTAGCTGATCGAAGAAAGACGAATACATATTCTGCCTTGTGAGCCACACCATTATTTATTATTATTATTTTTACTTTTTTTTTTTTAATTATAAGTTCTTTAGTAGTCAGTTTAGTCTTGGATTTTACTTATTTAGTTATTCTTTAATATTATCTTAGTAACATTCATTAAAGTTAAATTTATTACTTCCATATCAATATTTGCAGCTAAAATAAGTTTTAAGGAAAGATAAAATGAATATAAATGATAATGCATTGTACGTTTCGTTTTCGTTAGTTTAATTGAGACTATAGCCAATAGTCAGTACCTATTATTCATTTATATATAACTGCAATTTAACAATAGTGTTTTCATTTTTTAAAAAAAATTCTTAAAATTAAAAAAAATTTACATAGAAAATTAAATATAAAAAAGAGTTTTACCGTCACCATTTTTATGCACACAGTAACCTCTTAAATATTTTGAAAGTTTTAATTCTAACGTATAAGAAATGCATAATCATTTAACTATTTATTAATAAATAGTGTTTAAAGGTATTTAAACACCCTTAAATACGATCGAATATTTAAAAAGACGATTAATTACAGAGAAGAAAACAACGTTTTTTTCATTTTATAAAAATTAAAATAAATTTATGATTTACTTTATTTTGTATATGCTTTCTACGTATTTTGACATGCTTTGCAAGTTTATGCTGCATTTATCATGAAACAAATAAAGCAAAAATATTTCATAAAAAAAATTAACTGCATTTTATCATCAAAATTTTTTTTTACAGCACGCAAGAGAAAAGTGACACCATAACAGCAAAACAGCTCATTAATTTTTTGAATAAAGTAAGTAAAAAGATTGGTTTAAAATTATTTTCTATGATTTAAGAAAATAAAAGTGTTCTTTTTTTGGAAAAAAAACTGTCTACCCGTTCATAAACAACCATATAAATAATGATGTATGTAAAAGTAAAACCATCAGTCAAACATATTTAGGAAATTTAGTCTGAGAATAGAGAAAAGCGCTTTATTACTAAACTTCATCCATTTTCAAGTCAGAAAGAAAATAATCGCCCGTCTAGAGAAACTTAATATCTAGGAACAAGAACCTTATTGTTCCAAAGAGCAGTTAGTAGCTGCTATACCAAATCTGTCGACGCGTTTTATAATTAATCAGTCTTTGTATTCTGTTTATTTAGCGTAGCTATGTTGATACTTTTAATTAAAGAAAGGCTTATGAGAAAGAACTTAATTATACTTTTTAGTTAACTAAGTAACTATTCTTATATATTTTATTTACAAGATAAACTTCACATGAAATTTAAGCTTTTTCTGTTAAGAATTGAATAAATTTAAATTTTAAAAAAACATATGCTTACTTGGTATTTTCTAGAAAATGTTTAGTTTTATAAAGAAAACAACTACAATTAAATACATTTTATAGACTGAGCTTTAGTTAACTTTTAAATAGGTTTTTTTTCTTCATTTTTTTAAAATGACAAATCTAAGCAAATAAACCGCAATAAAATAAGCAATGCTTTTTAATATAAATATTTTAAATAAATTTAATTCATTACATTTGTTTCATATTTTATCTTTACTTTTCTCAAATTTACGTATTTTCTATAATGCGATACATTAATGATTGGAATATTTTTCATCATACGATTATTATGTGCATTAAAAAGGTAATATAATTGATAACTACTTCATGGATGGTACTACTTTGTTTAATTTTATTAATATAATTAAAATTATGAAATTTTCACATTTATATAAATTATCTAGTTCTTTGATAAGAAAAATAATAATACACTCAGAATATGCAAATTCTTTATCGTTATGCAAGTTTTTACAGTAAGTTGTTATTTTCAATTAAAGGTTATTTTATTACGTATTACAGGGAAGTGAAACATCAAATAGAATAATTTATAACTTAATTAACAAGTTTTTAGTTCTTTATTAGATTAATTATAATCTATATCGTAATAAAAATTAACTTCCATCTCTAATTGCAATTGTTTTGTACTTGTTCAATTAAAAGCAAAAATTAGTTCAAATCAATGAATAACGAATGGAATAAACTTTTATAAATGATAAATATTTAAATGATCCTTTTATGACTATATTTATAACTTCCTTTGTTTGATTTTTCAGAAACAAAGGGATCCACGATTAAATGAAATTCTGTACCCTTTTTATGATGAAATGAGAGCAAGGGAAATTATATCGACTTATGAAAGAAATCCAGAATTGGCGACGCAAGGTAGATATTGTTTATAAAATTTAGATTTAAAATATTCTTAAGTAGCATTTAAGGCATATTAATATAGTAAAAAAGCATTTTTGGATAAAAAGTATTGAATCAAAATGTTTGATCTCGTAGACTATACATTAACAACGTAAACACGATATTAATAACAAAGTATTTTTTGACCTTCATCGTATATGTGTTTCATTGTTTTGCTTGAAATCCGTGATGCAAAAAAATTATATTTCTTTATACGCTTCTACATCCCATCCATAATTATAGTTCCAGCACGAAATTTTGCGCTTAAAAATAAACTCAACATACATTGAAGAAAAGAGGAATTAAAACTACCAGAATATGGTAAACTTTACCTCACGGGAAGAAACCTTTAATTTTCAAATTGAAATTTTTTATCATTCGGTGTAAGTCTTATAAATTCAAAATTAGAATTAAGCATCCATAAGGTGTTGCGTCCTGGGCCGTGCATAGAGGTGGGAAACAAAGCATCACGTTGGGTTGCCCAAAAGTTAATTTACTTCATTTCATTAGAGTTGACGAAATTTTGAAATTCGAAGAGTTTGTAATTTTTTATTATTTTTTTAATTTTAACATTGTTGCAATATACCGTATAACCGTTTAGTTGTATTTTTCAGTATAACAATTATGAAAGTTTTGTTTTGCATTGATAATTATAATTTGTATCAGTTTCGCTTTAAAAATTTCCTCCTATTTCGTAGTAAATATGTCTTAATGCACTAACGGCTAGTAAGACATTTCTCACATCCATGGTTTTACAGTTTGTTTCATATAAAGTGCTTTGCATCACCAAGTTGATCAAGTTTAAAGCTACTTTTATATTCCTCCTAAAGACGCATGATGAGATACATTTTATTAATGTAATTCATAAGCTACGCTGTAAAAATTCCCCTCCCAATTCGCACTTCCTTTCTATATATTTCAAATTCCAGTTTTCGCCATACGTTTTTTCTCACTATAGGATAACTCTACCTTTTAAACCATTTTATGATTATATTCTATATTGCTCTTATTTTTCAACAATTATTAAATGGTTTTGAATATAGTATAAATAAAACTACGATTTGACTTTAATTTATACTCTACCTGATTATTATATTTCTTTGGGTATAATTTCTTAGCAAGTTAAATTGCCAGACATTTTTATACGATTGGTTCACTATAATTTTAAACGTTGTTACACTTAAATATTATTTTAATAAGTATATCCTTTTAAGCTAAAAAAAACGTTTAGGATTAATCTTTATATTGAGACACATGAGCTGCAGTAGCTCATGGGAGAAAGGGCTCGCTTTTCAATGAAGTGACGCAGATTCGAATCTCAGCATCGACCGGGCGTACGCATAATGTTCTCGGCTCACACCGACTACAATGACGACATATTTATTTTCTAGAATTTTTTGTTAAAATAACTGAGTGTTTTTGCTAAAATAACAGAATTCATTTCTTAAAACAACAGAGTTTGTTTGTTAAAATAAAAATACTTATCTCTTAAAAAATAGTTGTCTGTTTTTAAATAACAGTATTTTTCTGCGAAATGAACGGTTTTATACTGGCACTCCAGTTGACAGCTTTTTCTGCAAGTTTAACGGATACTTTTTCTACAGAATAGGTTTAAAACTAGAAAATATGAATGTATTTTGTAAAAATGTACATCTTTTCTCGTTTCCTTTAAAAAACTATAGTAACAACTCATTTTTTTTCATAATTAAATTACTGCCGAATTATTTTAACTGGCGAATCACAAAATTGGCTTCAAAATAAGAGCGCAAGGTAGGAAATACTTGAAGAGATTTACAAATTGCATTTTTTTCCTAGGTCTCTTGAGTCAAGATGGTTTAATTCGATACCTTATGTCGGACGAGAATGCCCCAGTATTTCTTGACCGACTTGACATCTACATGGACATGGACCAACCTTTAGCTCACTATTACATCAATTCCTCGCATAACACTTACTTGACTGGGCGACAGTTCGGGGGTAGGTCGTCCGTCGAGATGTACCGACAAGTGTTGCTGGCAGGATGCAGGTGGGATTTTCATGAATGATTTAAATTGAATTCATATAATTCTTTTATTTGAGTTCATGAATTCCTTAGAAGATTATGCAATTCTATAATAAAACCATATGTTGTTATTGTTTTGTAGGTGCGTTGAGCTAGATTGTTGGGATGGAAAAGGGGAGGATGAGGAGCCAATCATTACTCACGGAAAAGCTATGTGTACTGACATTCTTTTTAAGGTTCAATAATACTTCCAATTTTTATGTAATTACCCTATTACTTTTATGTACTAAATAAGAAATATGTCTTTTTTTCTTTAAATTTCAGGATGTCATCGCTGCTATAAGAGATTGTGCATTTGTTACATCTGATTATCCTATAATTCTTTCATTTGAAAACCATTGCAGGTAAAATATTTAATGAACTTAATTTGCTTGAATTCTCTTTCTGCAGTGTACTGGAAGTTAGTTTATTTGTCTATTTAATTTTTAAAAATACTTTTTAAAAATTCATTTTTTATGAAATTGATCATTTAACTTATAAAGGACATCCTGCTTAATATTCTTTTCAATAAATTCATTTACTAATACTTACTTTAAGCTGTTCGAGTGCAAATAGCTGTCATTTTAAAATGTATCCATGAAAGCAAGTATCTAAATTTATTAGAATAATGCTTGTCATACTAAAATGTCAATTTATAAAATATATGTTTCATAAAATGCAGATTTAATTATGTTCTGTCTAAACTCAAAGTAGTCTTCTAGAAAATTTATTTTATTAATATTATAAAATTCGGAATTATATGCATTTTTGTTCAAAATCTGTATCTTAATAAATAGAAAATCGCTATAAATTGTCAAAAAAATTCTTTTTCCGTCCGATTATTGTTACTAACCTCATCATTGGTATAAGTGTTTTGCTTTAGATGTATATTTGATAGTGACTTCTTTTCGTTTTAAATTACTTTTTAATTTTACCAACCATCCTTTTATTTGGCCTTTTAAAATTTAACTTAATAATTAAACAGTTTTAAGCATTTATCATTGCATTTATCAAACTTTAACAATTTACAGCCTCCCTATTATTGTGTCTAACAAAATCATCTAATATTCTTTCAATAAAATAATACAGGATGATACTTTTTACAAATATTTCCTCAATTTCTCAAATTAATATTGTTTTAACAAAAAGAAAATCTTTATGTTTCGGCTGAAAATGGAATGGATGAAAAAATGAAGCATTTGTCTGCAATTCAGACAACCCAGGTTCTAATCCCAATGATGACGAGTTGATTCGCCTACTAAGGCTCTCAACTTATACTAACCACAGTACTTGCGGGAAATGTCCCATGTTAAGAAGTGGTTATGGATAAACAAGATTTTTCGAACATCTTTCATCAAGGAAAATAAAAAAGCCATAGTTTAAGTGCCTTATACTTGAAGCAAAGCCATAATTTTAAACTGCTTGTGCCATCTTGCATAGGATTATCTGGGCTTTAGAACGAACAAATTACTGAAATATTTTAAAAGCTATTTAACATCTATCTTACTACCAACATCTACCAATTACCTTAATCATGAGTTCGGGACATATAGGAAGTATTTCATATAGGAAGTAGAAGTATTAAAATTATTTCCATATTTATTCCATAGAAACTTCATCCCAATGCTCCATTACGTATAATACGTATACATATTTTATATCCGTCCAGAAAACTAGGAAACTCCCGGATCAGTACCCCCAGAGGTATTTATTTGTTATGGGAACATGGAGGACTTTGAGACTCGACAGATTTAACGAGCATCAGTCACCATTTACTACACGAGGAATCTTCGGCCGGCTCGGATCGAACCCACGAATAGTTGGACATGGGCCCAGTGCCCTACCAACCGGGCTATCCCGGCCTCGTGCGTATACATATGGCCTTACTCGGAAAAAAGCAAGCTCCGTCACCACAGTATGACAGTATGCGGATCAACAGCTTCATTTATGTTTGAAATTTCTACAGCCATTTTAGAAAGGATCGAAAATAAATCTAACTAAACACTTCGTAACTAAAATTTCTTAATAAATACTCTTGATAATTATTTTTAATAAATACTTTACATGTAACTAACTATTCACCACTACTAAAATTCTGTATTATTTAAGACAACCTAAAAAATACTTAACGCTTAAATAATTTCTAACATTACTTAGCTTATTATTTAAAACAACCTAACAAATTTAATAAGAGCTATGTTGCCAATAGATCGAGACATACTTCAATTTCTGTCTTCACTACTTTCTGTCTTCAAAATACCTAATAATAATAATGAAATAAATAACAATAATTTCAAAAATAATAATAGAAAATCAATTAAAGTGATACCGAAAGAGAAAAATCCTTTGCTAATTAGTAAATTTCTCTGTCTTTTAATTTACAGAACGAAATTATTGAATCCAAAAAGAACTAATCCTCGTTAATTAGTGCTTTAAAAATAACTATACTATAAATATATTTAGTTACATAAAGAATATAATAATCACGCAAAAATAATTTAATAACTATATTGCTATTAAAATTATTTTTGAGGAAAAAAAATTTAAACAAGAAAATTTAAAATTTGGATTTAGATGCTAGTTTTTATTAGATTTTCTTTTCATAAACGTGACTCTTTTTTCTTGCAGTAAAAAACAACAGTACAAACTTGCCAAATACTGCGATGATTGTTTAGGGGATATGCTTTTACGGGAACCTTTGCCTGCTTTTCCCGTAAGTTGTAGTTACATTCTTCTTTCAAATCGTTATAAGTCATTTCTTTTCATTAAAATACGTAGCTATTGCTTAAAAAATTTTCAAGGATACTCCAAACAATATACCAATTAATAACAAAGAAAATTTGAAGTCCTCATTATAATAACTCAGTAAAGAAAGACTTACCATCTGTCAGGGAAAACGAATTTTCTCAAACAATTAACGAGCTGCAACGTTTAATTTCTTTTGTAAATGCTTTAAACAGGAAGTTGAGCAATAAATCACTTTTAAAGGTTTTCATTGTTATTCTTTAATTTTTAATTAATAATTAGTTTAATTATTTCGAAAAAATAAATCAATTTATCAGTAATAACATCATTTAAGAACTAAGTAGTAAGTTAGGCAGTAAGATTTTCATTATTATTGTTATTTTAGTTTTCGTTAATTAATTTCATAGTAATATGTTTAAAGCAGCTAATTCAATTTAACTGTAACTTATAACACTTAATTTCTTGTATTCTAATAATTAATACAAAATATATTTGCTTTTCTTTGGAGGATATCGTTTTCGTTAAAATATATTTCCTAGTTTTTTGTAATTTCGTAAACGCATTTAATGCAGGGGAAATTCAAACACATCTTAAAGTTTTCAATACAAACTAAATTCCTAAAAATTTATTAATAATTTTTAAATGATATAAGTAATTCGGGGCATTTAATTAAAAAAATTAATTAGTGATAATAACGCTAGACACTGTTCTAATTCGCTGTTCCCAAAATGACTAACGATTGGAAAAATCAATTAAAGAAATGTGGAAAAAGATGGAAATGTACGGTTTGCTTCTTTCGGCTTAAAAAAATTAATTTGCTCCTTTTTTCAATGAGTTTAAAAATTAGAGAACTTGTAAACTGATAATGATGCTAACTATAAATATGTTTTCCATAAAACAATATTTTTTGCTGTAACTATAAAACTTCAAAACAATACATTTTGCTGCATGTTGGACCCTTCCATCGAAAATATTTGCCGTTTTGACTTCATTTGCACGGATATTTGTTAATTTAGTTCTTTTACTGGGCCTCTTTGTGAAGAGTAGTTCAATGGAAAACATTGTCTTGCAGTTTTTTAAGTAAACAGCGTCATCTGTGGTCAAACAATTCATCTAATTTGAAGTATACTGAGATTAGATAGCTTGATTTCCTAATAAACAGTGCATTTCTATATACTTCGGTTTTTCTTTAATTAATTTTTAATTATTAAACATTTTGGATGCTTAATATATAAATGCAGGGTGCAATGCAAATTTAGTGTTTATTATATCTATGTAATTTTTTTTCAAGATGGAAGCAGGAGTTACACTTCCAACTCCAAATGATTTAAAAAGGAAAATTATCATAAAAAATAAACGCTTGAGACCAGAAGTAGAAAAACGTAAGTAAGCTTTACTAGGCCTAACTATTGTTCAGATTTAATATTCTTTTAATTATTGTCAACCATTTAATATCTAGTAATCTAGAGCAAAATTAATTTATTAAATATCAACTCTGTGAAGTTATTAAATATCTATTTGATTAATTTAGAATTCATTTCTTTTAGTTACACTTTCCTTTAAAAATATGACATCGGTCAACATAAAAAAATATATTTTTAGCATGACATAGATGTTTCTTAAAACAAACTATTTCATAAAATTACGAATAAATGCTAGAAATAATAATGTCTTTCGAAAATTATTTATTTCTATCTTTAAATGCAACTGATCTACAATACAATAAAGAATTGTAAACAAAAATTTATATGAAAGTATTGGACTCTTGACTTCACTGAATCCCAATTAAAAAACAGCAATTTTAATTTAATTTAATAAATTTAAAATCCCTTTGAAAAACATTAATAGAGTGAATTGAACTAACTTGATACATTAAGCTGTAACACTGTCTCTTTTTTTTAAACGTTTTTAATAAAACCGTAAACTTTATATCTAGTTCGTAATTTAATTAGTAGAAATTATTCCATAGCACTATTTCCGTTATTTATTAAAATGGTGGAAGTGAGAAACTCATCTAAATTTTTAGCACTTATATTTTGTCTTCCAATGTTTCTTAACAGAGGAATTGGAGTTATGGAGGAAGGGTCAACTGCAAAATGATGATGATGACGACGAGAAAGAAGATGCTGCTCCTGATTTAACTCTCTTGGCAGAAGAAACATCACAAGATGGAGGTAACTAATAATTTTTAAAATACATAGTTTTTGTTTACAAAATTAATCAAATTTTTTTATATAAAAAATAGAAAAACCCTTTTTTAAGGAAATGCTGTGTTTGATCTAATTAACTTTAATTTTGAACTATAGATTAATATACAAATAATTACAAAAACTAAATAACTTAAGAATATTTTGAAGTTCAACTTTATCAATTAAAAACTTCATAAATAAACATAAATATTTAGAAAAATGAAATTAAGTAATAAATCTTAAATTAACAGAATATTCTGTCACAAAAATGGAAATAATTGTATTTCAAAGTGTAAAGAAAAAAGGAAAAAAAAAATTTCTACTTATCTGTTTTTATTGATCTACAGCTTATATGTAATTTCAGCAGTACTTTTAAATTGTTGAAACTATTAAACAATGCAACTAAGTAATTGAGTTTAATACACAAACAATGCAAATATGTTTGAAAAGATTCTAAACAAAATCCTAACTAAATACGAAAATTTATCAATATAATTATATTTACGTTATCTTTTGTTTTGTTTGCCATTTTTTTAATGATTATCATAAGGATTTTATAATTTTTTATGTGAAAGTGTAAAATGGCATATGACTGATGAACTAGTACCAATAGTATAAACAAATATCCATATTTTATTACAGTATTTTTATAAAACCAATCTGTTTCAGAGGAACTAAATGTTTTATTTACCTACCCTTTGTATTTTATTTATTTTTGTTTCATGTATGGCTCTTTTATAACTTATCTAAGATTATTCAAACTTTCATAAATGAAACAATATTATTTTTTACTAACACAAATCTGTGATAAGTGCTTCGAAAGGGCCATACTGTGGTTACGATATTTATGTGTAATCCTATGTCATGATTTTTGTTTGAATTCTTTTAGTTAAATCCCACGATTGGAATCTTGACCTGGTGATTATTTTCAACGAAATGAGTTTGTTGATTTACCTTTACCCAATGGATGCCGATTATGTATTATTTATTATGATTTATTGTAAAAATTATTTTATTAAAAGTTCCTCTCGTATAAACATATGATTTTCTATAAAGTATCCGAATATATTCTCATAAATACATGTTAATAATATCAAATGAATGTCCATTTTCAAGCATGAAAAATATTATTACAATTTATTATAAAAGGAAGTACTGTTTGTAAAATTATTTTATAATCTAAAATTGCTTTGTCTTATTCAATAATTTAATTTTAATTAGATCAAAATTATATGTTGAACTATAAATTAGTTGAAATTTAATTTTAAATTAGTTGAATTTAAAATAAGTCAAGTATAGCTTTATACGAGCAATAGCAAACTAAGCACACTTTTCATAATTATATTGAACAATAATTTGATAGTGCTAAAGTCATTATTTTATTACTTAGATGAAATAATGATAATGGTAAGCATAATTTTTTATTGCATTTGAAATAAATAGTTTTTTATCCTTAGTATTAAAGTGTAATTTTAAAACTAAAACTTTTAATGCCATAAGCATTAAAACGATATAAATTGCTGTTTCAATGCATCAGAACAATATAAATTGCTGTTTCAATGCATCAGAACAATATAAATTGCTGTTTCAATACATCAAAACAACATAAATTTATTATTCGCTTGTCATATGTCTAAGATTTTAAAAACTAAGAACTTAAAGAAGAAAATACTGAATATTTTATAATTTTCTAAAGGAGTACAAATTTAAATAGTGTGTGTGCGTTATTTTATGGGAAATCCCAGAAAACAAATTAGATTTAAATTTATGTTTTGCAGTATGTAATAATATTCAATTAGTGGTTTTCTAAACTTGCATTAAACTTATTTCAATACTATCGTATTTTAATAATTCTGAAAATTTTCATCAGAATACTAATTTTTATTTTCTTTTTATTACAGACAAGAAGGTAAGTTTCAATACTGGAAGTATATGTAACGGTGGTTCCTCTTGTCGAGGGTCTACAAAATCTCCTGATATAAAGGTTTAACAGAAAATCATTATTATGTTCTCACTGAAAAATTAATTTATTTACGAAAAATTATTAATTCTATGTATTTCATTATAGATATTATTTCGCAATCTTTTGCATTACTAATGTAATAACATAATGCATAACTAATATGATTTTTTGCACTTTTTAAGTATTATTTTGAAACATACATATAAATTTATCTCTCACTATTCAAAAAATAGTTCTACAAGTGTTTAAGTAATTTCAAAACTGGTTATCTAAATTGTCAACTTTCACACTCAAGTTATAAATATTTACTAAAGCAAACTTGATTTTTATCCAATTGTTCTATTCTATGCATATTAAAAAATGCGTGCAAACTAGGTTGATATTACGCAAGATACTATATTTTATATATAATATAAATATAATTTCAATTCATATTTAATAAAAAAAATACAATGATGTTTTGTAATATTACTATTTATTTCCAATAAATGTTTTCAGACAGTGAAAATTTGTAATAATGCAGATATTTTTAATTATGTATCCCTAAAGAAATATATCTTTGGTTTTCAGAGAAAATAAGGTAATGAGCATCTTTATAACACAAAAATTCCAAAATGTTTTTTCTTTCTTTAAAAAAAAATTACCCTGTTAAAATATTTCAAAAGAGTAAAGATTTCTAACAAAAAAATTATTTCGAAAATTGATTTAGTTTCTAAACAAACGTTGTATAGAAATGGACTTGTGTAGATCCTGCTATTTCTTATGTTAATATGAAAAAGCAGTGTTAGTACTTAAGTGACATTGGTGCCAGTGTTGCTAGTATAAGTGCTAAAATTTTATTTTTAATTATGTCGTATCTATTACAAATAAACCTGCAAAAACCATAAAAAGTATTGTAAAAGGATTAATATTAAAGTAATTTTGTTGTAACTTGTGAATGGAAACCAAAATATTTAATTAAATATTTCTCTTAAAACATAATTAAGCAATATTGCCTATAAAAATAAATTTAAGCTACCATGAAACATGAAAAATATATTTATAAAATAATTAGCGATTAGATAAAATAAAAAGCATCATTTTTGTTATTCTAATGTTAGTCATGAACTGTATAAAATCATATTCTGTACTTGTTACGCAGGAAGCACCTCAACTGGATGAGCAAATAGCCATTGCTAACTACAAATACACTGGTGCAACAGTACATGTGCACCCCTATCTTTCTTCCTTGGTCAATTACGCACAACCAGTCAAGTTCCAAGGATTTGACGTAGCTGAAGGTCAGTATGGCCATGAATCATAGTTTTAAATGTATCAAAATATATTTATAATTTGTTTTATAATTGTAATATTATTTTTAATATGTTTATACCTTAATTACATTACTATAACCCAAGAACATCTAAGATTTTCTATATTTTTATAAACCTAAAAGTTATGTTTATATAGGACTTAAATTAAACATCTATAGTTTAATTAGTTATAAACTAATAGGTTAAAAATTTCAATTCTAAAATCTATACAAATTAGCTTTAGTCATGAAACTTATTTACGATTCTGCTTTCGAACAGTAATAATTTTTTTATAAATAAAATTCCCTTTCTGTTTTTCTTACAAAACCTAAGATAATTGTATTTCCTTTTATACATTTCAATAAATACCTACTAAAAGTACATTTAATGGATAAATTTGTTTCATTTACAAAGCATTCATAATATTATCAGAACACAACCAACAAAAAAGTGTTTTTATGTTTTTACCAAAATTTTAGCATTTTTTTGGAATTTTAAAATTTTTACGCACTAAATTTTATAAAAAATTTTATGCATTCACGATATTGTAAAAAATTAATTGTTTATTAAATGATAAAAAATAATCAAAATTTTCGAGATTTTTTTTCTTTTTATTTTTAAGAGAAAACCCGAATTTTACGTCTACTGAAACTTCACAACAACATGTGAGCATTCTATGTTTCCAAAATCCTAAAGTATTAAGAAAGTTAATATTAGCAATAATTTTAATAAAAAGGACGGTAAAATTAGAATTGAAAATTCATACAACTCATGGAATATTATATTGAAAGTATTTAATGACGCAAAATACTTTTTATCATTCTTTATTTTAAAAACTTAACTTTACGAAACCCTGAGTTAGCGTTGTTTAAAAATAACCTAATATTACATTTTTGAAACTCTAATTAGAACATAGAAAATTTGTATTAAATATTGTGTTAAATGTATATTTCATTACAGAAAAAAATCTCCATTTTCATATGTCTTCCTTCGCTGAAAATACTGCCCTTGGTTATTTAAAGTCACAAGCAATTGAATTTGTCAAGTATCCTTCTTTATAAATTAGTTTACAAGTTATAAATTCTATAAACAATTCTCTATCTCTTAAAACGTGTATACACTGCTCGACGATTGCTAAGCACAAATGATAATAGCAGCCACAAAATTGAAGGTAAGAATTGGCATAAGTGCGATATATGCATAGTGAGACATGTATTGCTTATGCAAATTTTGAATTGTTGAACTGGTTTGTAACATGACAGCACTGATAAGAAATAAAAAAGATTTGACGCGTACTGAGAATTATTATTCAAAATCAAAGTTTAACGGGAAATAATCAATTGAAGAACTTGCAATTTTTGAAATGTATTCCTGGCGTCATTCAAATGATTTTACGCGTGGCCGTATTATCGGCAAGATTGAAGAAAACCTTAAAAATGTTTCCAAAAAGTTTAAAGTCCTCCACAGTGCTGTTTCAAGGCTTTAGAAATCATTTCAAGCAATTGGAATGCGTAACAAACGATACTGGGGAAGTTGCGTTCCATGCACGACGTCTGCAGAAGTACATAGTACTAACGACAAGAAGGAACCAGCGCATTTCAGCCAGTCAGGTAACAAATCAGTTTCATGATGCTACTGGGAAGCGAATCTCTCGAAAAACTGTAGTCAGATGCTTGCAAGCAGGAGAACTGTACGCCCGCCGACTTGTGTGCATTTCATTATCCAGAAGTCAACGTAGCTCCCGTTTGCACTGGTGTCTTCAACATCGTAGTTGGAGCGAATGTGACTGGATTTACGTACTATTCTCAAATAAGAGTAGATTAAGTCTTTCATCTGATTGCCGACGCCAAATGATCAGGCTTGAGATTGGAACTGCGTGTAGTCGAGCAAACATACATGAAAGGGTCCGATATCCTACATGTAGTGCCATGGTATTGGCTGGCATTATGATTAATGACTGTACCCCCGTCTAAGTGCTTTCAACTGGGACTATGACTGTCCAACGCTACATTAATGATATTCAGTTGCCTCATGTTCGTTTGTTCCGTAGTGCTGTTGTGATAAATTTGTTTTATGGATTACATCGCAATAAATATTTCATCTAAAAGTCATTGTCGAGGAGTGTGTACACAGCTAGGATATTCAAAGCCACGAATCACCAGCATGTTCTCCAAATCTGAGTACGATTGAAAAAGTGTTGGATACTTTGGAAAGGAGTATTGATGGTCGAGAATTCTCTGTAATAAGCAAGGAAAGCCTCATCCCTGTACTGACAGAGGAATAGGACAAATTACCTATTCTAAATGCGGTTGTGTAAAGCATTCTACGACATCTGCAAACTTGAATCTCTCTCCATTGAGGTTATACCCCTTATTGACATTTTACTCCAGGATGCCGACAAATAATGCCAATAAAAAAAATTCCTTTTTCACATTTTCAGCACAAAATGACTATTTTGTTCCATGAACACCTTTCAAACCTTCTAGATTTCAGAGCACAAAACATTATACTTTTTTAATTGTCCTAAGATTCTTAGTATTCTTTTATTTCACTTAGTTTTTAACCACACTAAATTTTATAAGCTCTGTGTGGTATTTGTAGTACATCCTTAGCAATTGTCCAGCAGTGTTATTCCAATATGCATTCACTTTGTGACATGTATTATTTTTTAATTACATAAGACTTTAACATCAAATATTAATTGTATTACTAAGAAATTTGATTATGAGTATAAATTTTTGACTGTTATGACTTACTTATTATTTACTTTAATACAAAAGTATTTTACCATTAGTTTTCTTTTGTTTCTTGTATTATTTTACCATGTTGTTTAACCTCTTTCACTGAGAAAAAAATTATGGTCAAAACTACCAGTAGGTGGTAAAATTTTTACCAAAGCGCTTTGGTTAATTTTAGTAAAATTAGCAATAAAATATATTTTTATAATAATAAGACAAAATTTAATATATATTGTAAAATTTGGTAATTTTATCATGATACGTTAGAGCATTATGTGAAAGCCATTTATTTGATTCAATTTACTTTTTACTATTGTATTTTTTACTAAGTGTGTGGTAATAGGAACTATAATTTTGAAAACCAAAATTTCCGGTAAACCATTACTATATGAACGTAAAAATTACCAAATAAATGAATAAAAAAATTTAAATACTGTATATTTTGGTTTTCATTACCAAAATCATGGCTTTATTTAATAGAAATGTCCATACTAAACAGTACTGTAATTTCATCAGAATTTTTTTCTCCGTGAAATCAATATGTTTAATATATCAAAATATGTAGTTTTAAATATTTTTTATAGCATTAGATATACTAAGCATTTTAGTGCATGAAAGTTTTAACAAATTAATGTATGAATTTTATTTTTTTATTTATATAAGCACATTATTTCTTTAACCAATTTAAAATTCTGCACCACAGAATTTATCTATAGTGATTTTCAAAGATAACTTTATTGATGCTGTTAATTTGTTATCCTTTAACTAAACATACTGAATCAATTTAGTTAATATAATTATTTTAACAATGGTACAAAAGTTGAGTGAGTTTGAAATTGCGTAATTTTTTTTTTTCTAATCAATGCGAAGTTTCAATTCAATTCAGCATGTGAAGTTTTTAATAAAACGGAATATATATGTCTAACACACAAAAACGATATAAAATAGAACACTTTGTTACTTAATTGTATTGTTTAATACCATATATATTTATACTCCTGTACATTAATTTAACTATTTCTCTTCCACATTTAAAGCAAAGGATACCGCATCTGTTATCTCTTTTTAGTTCATGATTTTTCAATAAAGATACTACAGAATTAAAATAGAAATTCATTATTTACAAACCTTTTTATACTTTTTAGTTTTCCTATATTTTAAGTTTTGTAATTTGAAAAGTTCTCTGAGAACTTAAATTTTTTAATAATTTAATTATTTTATCATTTTAATTTTTTAATATTTTTATTAATTTATTACTTTTTTACATTTTAAGTTTTATAACATTTCGAATTTTTTTAACTTTTAAACTTTCTAATTTTATAAGTTCTTTTTAATATTTTAAGTTTTATAGCATTTTGAGTTTATCATCTTTTTCTTAATATTTTAAGTTACAATAAACGACAGCTAAGTCGTATTTATCCAAAAGGCACAAGAGCAGATTCTAATAACTATCTTCCACAGGTAAGCATTGTATCAAATAGCATTTGCATTTTATTGAACTCTCTTATTTATACTTGTAACAATTCATTTTACATATAAAAATTGAATTACGTATGTCCAAAAGAACTAGTAACAGTGAAAAAAATCTGAAATTCAATTAAGTTATTGTGCTATTTTCTTGGTATCATAAGTAAAAACCAAGTTATGCTAAAATAGCCACAGGAGCAGATCTTACACGTGGAGTAAGAAACTCTTATAATTTTATAACTTTATTTTCAAAAGTGTAATAATTAATTTTCTTGCACTATTCAAACAAACCGATTCACGCTTTTTTTAAATCACCAAGTGCGTAACATTAATCAATACTTAAATGCAACTGAAATATTAAGGTTTAAAATTGTATTTTCTTAATATTTTAAGTTACAATAAACGACAATTAAGTCGGATTTATCCGAAAGGCACGAGAGCAGATTCTAGTAACTATCTTCCACAGGTAAGCATCGAAGTTTGGAATATATATTTTTATGTTATCTGTACATCATACTAAATATATCAACCATTCTATCAAATTAAAATAATAAATACGAAACTTTTTCTTTTAGATTTTTTGGAATGCAGGATGCCAAATGGTAGCCTTAAATTTTCAAACGCCTGATTTGCCGATGCAACTCAACCAGGGAAAATTCGAATACAATGGAGGTTGTGGGTAAGTTAATAAGTTATACTCAATGCAATGTTACCAAACTCAATGCAATATTTTTTTAGTATTTTGTATTATTTATTTTATTTTATTGCATATTAAAAACCTTACTATAATTACAGACATTATATGTAACTGCTCTTCGTTGTATGCCTAAAACTATTTTCATTCTTATCTGATTATTTTAAGAACATAAAAAAATTTTATTGTTCATCGCTTAGGCCCTCGTCTTTTCAATAACTAATGATTAATGACCTTAGAATATAGCTTGTTTCACAATACAATTTAATTCAGTTAGGAAAGTCATTATAATTAAAGTTATATGATTTTAAATTTCTATCGATTTCTGTAAACTCAATCTTATAAATAGAAGATTTATAAAGGATTACATAATATTACAGTTACTTGCTGAAGCCGGACTTCATGCGTCGTCCGGACAAGACGTTCGACCCCTTTGCGGAGTCACCTGTGGACGGTGTGATAGCAGCTCAGTGCTCGGTGCGGGTCATCTCCGGCCAGTTCCTCTCCGACAAGAAAGTCGGCACCTACGTCGAAGTGGACATGTACGGCCTGCCCACCGACACCATCCGGAAAGAGTTTCGGACACGCCTTGTCCCCTCCAATGGACTTAATCCCGTCTACAACGAGGAACCCTTCGTCTTCAGGAAGGTACAGAGCGACCAAAATTTGCCATTCATTATGTGTAAATTTAATTACTTTTGATCGATCGGTTAAAATATCCAAATAAGGATTTGGTTATTTTTATCTATCTATTTGGATATTTTCACCAATCGATCAAATTACTTTTGATAGATTGGTAAAAATATCCAAATAAGGATTTGGTTGAATTTCGATTCTATCCAAATATTCCAGAATCTGATTCCATTCCTTAAAATTTTATTAGCCACTTCAATAAATTATAAGGGCAGAAGCTTCGAGTATTATTTTTTTTACCTATATGAACAGAAATATGCTTAAAGAAATATTATTTTACAAAATTACTTAAATATACTCTCCCAAAATCTCGCATTTCAAAAAAATGGTAAAAGTTTTTCCATAATGATTACTTTTATTTACATTACTGATCATTACTTTGAGCAATTTATCCTCATACTGATTGGATAATTCATCATTTAAATAAAAATAAATAATATGGATAGTAAATAATTTAAATATAACAATACGCATTAAAAAATAATATTTATAATAGCTGACTTTGCAATTATTTATCGCCATAATATCGTTCATATGTGTTGGTACAGCTAAGATAAGTATTCGAAATCTATTCCTCAACATTATGCTCCTTAGTTTGAAAAACCGTAAAAGTTAAAACCATGACTACCACATTTTACTATTGTTTATCAACTATTTTAAATAATGAAAAAAATTATGAAAATGAACATTTTAAGAAATGTAACATTTTTCATATAATCGTACAGTAATTAGTCATTTAAATAATGATGCAATGATGCGTAATATTTAGCTATTGAGGGTAATTTAGATCAATAAAAAATTAGTGAGATAAATAAAAAAATAGAAAAATGTAATATATTCTATTCTTTATTTTAAAGGTTTTAGAAAAAAAAACATTACATTTCTTATCAGTCTGACATTTCAACAACTATACAAAATAAGGATTAGAAAAACGTTATTGTCATCTAGAACCAACTGTACAAATTACTTCATTTCAAGATACAACTTCTATAACAATAAAATGTAAAGGAAAATAAACTTACGTACTTATTGTTTCTCCATGGCTTAGTCAATTTTTAAAGTTTTAAGTTGGTAATATTATTTGACACATTGATGGAACACTTAGATTTCTTGTAAGAACTTAATTCCATCTTTAATCTTTTATACAAATAAAAACATTAAACTTCTCAGGACTTTATCTTCGCTAACACTACCTAGCATTTTAGATTTTTTTGGCTTTTTCTCCTTTTAAAAAATTCTCTTTTTGCAGTTCTTCATTCGTATTCCACATCATAACTAGAAAATAGCAGACGATTAAATCTTTTATTTAGTCGATTAAATATTTTTATTGGCAGACGATATTTTCAAAAAAGTAAATTATAAATGTTTATCATTAAACTTTTTAGATAGGAATGGTTCTCAAAATTTTTTTGAAAGACTGTGTACTGAAAGCGTATAAATATTTGAACAATTAAAAGATTATACTGAGAGAAGAAAATCAACATCTGAAATTGCATATTATTTTCTATAATTTGCTTGTGTATATTTCACTTCATTTCATGTTATTTTTCCCAACATTGAGTACATTCTTCCTAAAACTTTATGACCTATATCGTAAAGAAAAAGATCTAAAAAAAGAAATCAGATTCTCCTTTTTAAGTTTTAAAATTCTTTTAAATGTTAACTAAGGGAACTATTTCTTAAAAAGTTCATTTTTTCTGCTGATAAAAAAAAAGAAATTGTTATAAAAATAAATGCTCAAGCATGAAAAGCTTGTTTTATAAAAATTCAATTTGCATTTTAAGTCACTCCTCTTGTCAAATTTTTGAGTATATATTGATAATTATTACGGCCAAAGTATTTAAATAGAGAAGTGCATAAATTAATAAATAAAAAAAATTAAATTAAAAATTCTGTGCAAATTGTTATTTAAGTAGAATTCATTTTAAAAATTAATATTGAGTTTATGGATTATTTGAACGTAAGCATTTTCAACTATGATCCATTTTTTGTTTGAATAGGTCGTCCTTCCTGATTTGGCTGTCATCCGTATCGCTGTATTCGATGAAAGTAGCAAAATGTTGGGGCAGAGAATTCTTCCTCTCGATGGTCTGCAGGCGGGTAAGTCTTTAGAATATCATCCAGTCACTATTTATAGAACTGTCAAATTATTTATATGATAAAAACATCACAATATTGCTCCGTAATGGCAAAATATCCCTTTTTAATTCTACACTACTACATAATGCAGTCGTAAAATTATGCCATGTAAGTCGGGCATATGCTAGGTCGTGATGTAGACTAATAATATATTTAGATGGATATCTAGTGTAGTTTTAATATCCCCCTGACTTAGACACAAACAACTGCCTCAATATAAGACACTTCATGTAAGTCGGACATTTGTTAGTTCTTGATATAAGCTAATAATATAGATAGACGGTTAGCATAGGGTTTATATCCCCTGACCTGCCTCAATATAAGACACGTCATGTAAGTCGGATATTTGTTAGTTCTTGATATAAACTAATAATATAGATAGACGGTTAGCATAGGGTTTATATCCCCTGACCTGCCTCAATATAAAACATACAATTAAGTCGGGCATTTGTAAGACTTAAAGCTTGTAAATGTAATTCATGAATGTAAATTTTATTTTCTTACATGTTACTAATCAATGCTTTAATGTTATGTTTTAGGCTATCGTCACGTTTCTCTGCGTACCGAGGGTAATTTTCATATGTCTCTAGCTATGCTGTTCATTTGTATAGAGTTAAAAATATATGTTCCTGATGGTTTGGGAGGTACGCATAAATTACAGTTATTGTTTTATGCATTACTTACAATGCCGTTTTAATATATTTTGCAATTATAATAAAGGATATACAAAATGTTAAAATTTATTTTTTTTAACCAATAGACTACGTTACTGACAAAGAATTTCTGGAAATCATTTCTCTGTTCAAAAAATTCTAATAATTTAGTTTCTCATTTTTTCTTGTAATCTCTCAACACCTGGGGCTTTTTTCATTACCCCCCCCCCTTCTCAGTTACACGCTTGTTTAAAGCTGATTGTTTTGTTTGATAAATTTGTTATCTTGTTTTCCCTTACCATATTCATCAACTCTTCTTTTTCCATATTTTAATTTTTGGAAGTTTCCTTTTGACCCTTTTTAACCCTTTAACTGCCAGATTTACAGCTTCTGAGTTCTCTTTCACGAGCACCTGTTTAGAGCCAGAAGATTTTTTTCTGTCCGGCCTAAATCCCTGAAATCACTGAAATGTGAAAGCGTTCTTTTATGATGTACTGTAAAGTAGATAAAAGACATTTACTAAATATATTTTTTATTTGTATGCTTTATTTTCTTATTTTTTGCTTAAAATTTTCACATTATTTCTTCTATTTCGAGTTCTGTTAACTATTTCCGATGCTTCGACATTGCAACGGTAAAAACAGAAAAATGTGACGTCTACAAGATCTAACTATCAATTGAAAACTGGAGTGAAAACCCAAATACGCAACACTTAAGTGAAACTAAACCTTTCCCACTTACTATAAAAATACCACGTGCTCATTCTAAATAAGAGTCGTTTTATAGCATGCCATTTAAAAACATTTCAAATGGAATGCTTTAAGATCATGAATAATGGCTTGCTGTAATATATTGCTTATTAAAAATCAGCCGATACTCTGGTAGGCATGCTCATATAGCATTATTTTTCCTCATTTACACGTTGTTACTCTATATTCATATAGAGCTTAAAGTTAACTCTTTTTCTTCACTAAAAAACGGAAAACAGTATTAAAAAAAGACGAAAATTATTAGCGTCAACTACATACAATTTAAGTGCTCTTATGACTGGGCACCTATATTTGGTGTAATCTTTATTTTAATGATTTAAAATTGTAAAATTGTAAAATTTCTACATTTTTTTTCATATGTGTGTATAGACTTGATGGACGCTCTGTCTGATCCACGAGCATTCCTGTCCGCTCAAGAGAAACGCTTGGCACAAATGAGGGCGATGGGTATCGAGGAGGCAGACATCCAGACCAAAGATCTCCAACTTGGAGCCACAAACTCCATCACCAAGAAGGACGAAGACAAAAAAGGTTAGTAATAATCGTTTTGAAAGACCTTGTTTACTCACATTGTAGTTGCTTATTCGAAACACTCAGTTTTGAGATGTCTCGAAACAATAGAATGCTGTTTACAAAATCAAACAAAAATTGCCTCGTTTAAAGACTAGACAAAAATATACATATACATTAGCTCTTTCAGTCTTCCATAACATGATGTTAAGCCTAAAAAATTACCAAAGTGTTTACATGATGTCACTTCATGTTAATTATTCATCATTTTCCTGAACCAGAAGTCAACTAATTAACGACATAATTCAAAAGAATTTATTTAGATATGATATAACGGAACATTTGATCAAAGCTTTTAAGAAAAATCTTACTTATGTCCTTTCAAAGAGGAGTCAAAAATCACATAGTTAACCATTCGATTTGTCGAATGTTGATATTGTGAATTTTTGGATCCGTCGTAGACCAATTGGTTCTCCTACTGCCAGCCAGACGTCAGGGACTCTAACCCATGATCTATCACTAAGGATATTTTAAGTTAGTACAGTAGTCGGTTTGAGTCGGTTGCAGAAATCGTACCGATCAGCCACCTCTAGGATTCGACCCTGATTCACTTCATAAGGAGGTGGACATTAAAAACTTTATTTTATTTTATAACTGTCGTTGAACAGCTGACGCGATTTTGGGTTTACGACTACTAATGTTCAATTCCGTAGCCTTGTAATTTTGAACCCAATGCGGAAGACAAGGAAACTTCCGGATCAGTACCCCCAGAGGTATTGATTTGTTGCATTGGGACATGGGGGACTTTGTGACCCTATATATTTAGGGCGCACCAGCCACCGTTTACTACACGGGGAGTCTTCAGTCGGTGGGGATCGAACCCATGACATCTTGGGCATAAGACCAGTGCCCTACCTACCAGGCTATTCCGGCCCACATTTAAAGTTTGTAAAGTGTCAGATTTTTCAACTGGCGTGTAACGCATATATATCTAAAAGGCGAATAGAAAAGGCTGAATAGAAAAATGTTTCGAGCACATTCATAAAAATTATCGAATTAAAAATTCTAAACAAATACGGTTATTATGAAGCCCTTTCTTATTTAGTTATAATAATAGTGAGTTTTGAAATTATAAAGTGCGCTTATTCTTTCATCGTATTAATTTACCTAATGCGAAATGACCATGTAAAATGGTTTAATCCGCTCCAAAGAAATAAAAGAAATGTAAGATGCAATTTTTTACTGAAAGGCATGTGGAGGCATTAATTATGTAATTTTCATTTATAGATGATTTCAAAATAGAGCCTATTAGTGCGGAAACTTTAAAAACAGAAAAGGCTTTTATGAAACTGATCAGGAAACAACAAAAAGAAATGGACTCTCAAAAAAGAAAACAGCATAAAGAGAAAACAGTTATTCAGAAGCAACAATGTTCGGCCATTGATAAAACGATTAAAAATATAAAGAAGTAAGTAGTAGTACGAACTATTGATGTGATTTGTTTATGTGAGAAATATTCAATCGTATAAAGTATTAAGTAACTTCAAAAGGACATGTAAGATATTTTATATAATTTCATTTGTGACTTTACTTGTCAAAAAATTTACTTATTTTACTTGTCGAACTACTACATTAAACAGGGAAAATAAAAATATTTTTTCCTGTTGAAATTATTTCCCAACTACGAGTCGTAAAAAATCATAAGCAAACAAATATAGATTTAGGTGACGAAAGTCATGAGATATCTCTTAGGAACTCCTTACGAAGCTCAGTAACTCGACGTGGTAATGAACTCAAATAGTTAGAAATCATTCGCTGGGACATTCAGCCATGAAACGAAAGTTTAGTGGGTGCAGGGTTTTGTGCGCGAACTGACCTTTCAATTATATGTCATAAATGTTAAATGGGAATCATGTCGGGTGGCTAATTCATTTACTGGAATCGTGCAGAATGTTTTTCAATTAATTCTCGATGACCTGGCGCATTGTCATTCATTAAAATTTCATAGTTGTTTGGGTACATAAAGTCCAAAAACAGCTGCAAGTGGTCCCCAAGTAGCTGAACTTTATCTTTTCCAGTCAATGGTTGGAGCAATTGGACAATAGAACCCAGTTCATTCCATGAAAAAAGCCTCCCACATCATTATGGAGCCACTAGTTGATTGCACAGTACTTTGTTAACAAATTGGATCCATTGGCTCGTGGGGTCTGCACTACACTTGAAAACTGCTTTCAGTTCTGAACAGCCAAAATTGTGCTTCATCTGACCAAGCTACAGTTTTCCAGTTGTCTAGGGTCCAACAAATATGATCAGGAGCACAGGAAAAGCACTAGACGTGATGGCATTCTGTTAGTAAAGGCAGTTGAATCGGTCTTCTGCTGTTAGAACTGAAAACATCAAAACCTTTGCGATTGCCTGAAGGGACAAAAAGAAGTAGAAATGAGATTATAAGAAACTCCTCCTAGTTTAATTGGGCAATCAAAGTGGTTTTGATATTTTTCCTTCCGATTTCCTTGCTATTGATTTGACAGGATCCGATAGTGTCTTTGCTTATATTCCTCGCTTAAATATTATTTTGCAATCTCTTACGGAAATATAATTCTAACCTCATTTCTCGACTAGTATAACAAATATATAAAGGGAGATCATTGGGGAATATTCTGCATTTCATAAAACACTGTGCATTTCAATACCGAGTTCACTGTTCGAAAAATAAAAAAGAGAAAAAGATTTTATCTTACTTCGCTATTACATTAGCGCCCCAACTCATATTTTGACGTTGCATACTTAATGTATTAGAGAGATTTTGCATTCTATCCATCCGGTTGACTTCTTTCATCTGCTTAAATCGATCACCACCGCGCAATCTCTAACCTGCCGGTATTTACTTCACGTTTGCGCAGAGTGGATCTAGTTAATCGAAGAAAGAAGTTAACTGCATGTAAAGAGAATCAAAATTTCTCCATAATACTAACGAAGTGATAAAAAAGAAATTTTAAAAATGTTGTTCTTGACGAACATATATAAATTGTATATACTTTGGTGTGTGCTATTCAATATTTGCAATTTCATGCTTCAATATACTGTTAACTAAATAAAAGTAGGAAAAACCCTTCTAGCAGTGAAGACATGGCCAACGATCCCCAAATCCGAGAACTTGTGGTGGTTCAGATGAAACAATGGTCTTCGATGATGGAGAAGCACCGGAAGGAAGAATGGGATCTGTCCAAAAGTCATCTTCTGCAGCAGAGGGAAATACTGCAAAGGCTCATGGAAATGGCTCAAACTTCTCAAATGAAACAACTCGAGGCCAAATTCGAAAGGTGTGGAACTAAATGGATTGTTTTATTTAAGTCGTTCTTTTAAGTCATTTTGAAAACGAATAGTTACGTTATGGATTTGATATCTATCTGTTATTATCCTTTTCAGAGAGAACAAAGAGATGAAAGGAAAGCAAGCTAAAGTGTCTGTAGAGACAGCTAGAGAAGTGGCTAGTGATAAGACACTTCGAAACAAAGCTGAAAGAGAAAGGTATTAACTCTTCTTTGCATACACTGTTAAAATTTTCAGAAATAAGATGAGAGTATCGTATTTCTAAAATTACGGTAAAATAACAGGCAGCAGTCTGTCTATTCAATTAACTTTAAAGCTTAAGGTGAAAGAACATTTTTTATCTTTACGGTTTGGAAACCGTTTACCACTAGTATGGTTGAAAAACCATGAATACGAAACTATGCGGTTTCTTAACCATTTACAACTAGCATGGTTTTAAAACCGTAAAAAGAGTTTTTCGTTAGGTAAAGGGCATTGGAGTTAGGTTGCGGCTGAGTTGTATTTCATTAAATGAACCCTGGAATGAGGTTTAAATTGTTCCTATGATTGTTTTACCTTTCGTAAGACATGGGAAATACTAAATTTTGTTGTGTTAAACAGCATTATGGTTCTGCACTCTATGCGTAAATGAGAGTAGGGGAGAGTGGGGTCAATTGTAACATTTTTTACTTAACTATTTTTAACTAACCAAAAATCCAATATATTATTAGTATTAATTGACAGACGAGTAAAGTAGACTATCCTCTACTAGAAAAAAAAATAAATACCTGATTTTAAATGTTATTATATTAGTTATTAACAATTTTTGACAGTCGTGCACTTGTTACAATTGTCCCCACTTACGGGGTCAATTGTAACAGTTCATAAATTCAACTAAAACATAGTTAATTATACATATTATCATAGTTGTGATATATTTTTTTATTGATCAAAATAGTAGTGATATTTTAGGAGTAAAAATAATAATGAGCAGAGACCTAAAGGGTTAAACTTTTAACTTTAAGGGGTTAAAAATTTTAATTTATGCTGTGAAAGGTGACAAATAAAATAATGCACATGCAACATAATATAAATGATATAGGAAACTATTGGTGGTTCTTAAAGAGTTAAGTAATGGTTTGTAAACATAAGATTATTTATTTTCAGCTGTTACAATCGTCCCTTTACTTATTGTTACAATTGTCCCCAAGACGCCATTTCAGCTTCATTTGTTAAAAACAATGCTAGTTAATTAGCAAAACTAATCTTTTTTTTATTGAAATGTTAATTAAGGTGTCCACTTACATATTCGGTTACTAATTTTTATTTGTTTAAACAAAATTACTTTGTTACAATATAATATTCTAATACCAAAAAAAGTACTTGCGTGGCGTGAAAATATCTTTTGTGATGTAACTCTTTCAAAAGTACATAAAAATGGTTGCCATCAGGGGTGTACATGTAGATTTATTAAATACACCTTGTGCGCCACCTAGGAACCAAATCTAGAACCCGACACTCGAAATTTTTGCTCTGTTACAATCGTACCCTGTTACAATTGACCCCACTCTCCCCTATAGTATTCTTATACTCCAGAGTCACAATTTTCGAAGTGCTGAACTATGGAAACACTTCATGTGTTAAAGAGTATGGAGGAAATATTATGGTATCAACGCTGGGACTAGAATCCCCGTTCTGTCCGTCATGAGATTGACAAGATTAAAGTCATTATTGGCCCTCTCCCCTACAATCAGTACGCAGCTGCAAAAAACAAAGTGGCTTCACTAAGTAGACCTAGTTCGTATAATAAAATTGCGGTTGTTTAACAGTATTATCTGGAAGCAATTACGGTTTTTCTTACGATTAACAGTCGGAATTCCATCTCATTTATGTTATTTAGCTGTTTTGTTTGAATAGAGTAAAATAAAAATTAAATAAATTGTTATTTACCCATTTTTCTGGGACATTTTTTGTATTGTAGATGCATTTAGTGCTTAGAAAAATAATGCATTTTAAGCGCTAGCAGATAATGTATATCTTAAACCATCTTTCAAGTTTGACCATTCGTCGCTTTTTGATATTGTTGAAACTTGATGCTTCAAAATTTAGACTTTCAAACTTTTTACAGCGCGATTTTTAATTACGCCGAATTCTTCTTAAAAAGAGGAAGAAAAAATTTCATCATCAAAATTATCCTACTTAGTTATTAGTTTAAACAGATTATTAGAAAATGTTATTTTAAAATCAAAAATTTCATTGAATAGTATTTTTAAATTTTGTGAATAATAGCATAAATTTTACCTAGTCTTATTTATTTGGAAGCTGATACCAAAGCTCTCTGTTCTTTCATGTTCAACATTTCTATTTACATAATAATAACAATACAAATATGTAATAAAGAATAATAACAATACAAAAAAATTCATTGAATAAGAGAAGAAAACTACAGCACTAAAGCAGTTTGCTCTTTCATTCGCAAGTATAGCTTACCTGAATTATTAAAAAAAATTATGCTTGTTACAAAAAATTTTTTATAATTTAATTTTAAAATTAATTTGAATCTCTAATTGTTAAAACGCATTATTAGAAACTGCTTTTCTTAAAAATATCCAAATATTTTTTGCAATATTAACTAGACTTTCAGCGCTTTTTGGGAGCACTTTAAAAAATTCCGGATCAAATTGCGATTTAAAGTGGTACTTATAATCCATAAGATCCATTTCACCCTAAAATATTATACCTTAATTTTTACAGAAATATTTGTTTGATTAGAGTGATTCAGTGATTTTACAGTAATAATTACTATGAAATTTACGGTACACCAGTCTTTTTGTTCCGAAACATGTTCCGGTAAAAATGGATTTTACATGAAAAGTACCGGCACCTTGTCTGCTGGTACTTTTTACCGTAATTTCATCCGAAATTATTTATGATATGATTACTTAAGTTTTATCTAGGATTATTTATTTACAAACTGATATCAGAACTATTTGTTCATAAATGTTTAACGTTTTTTGCAGAAGGTTGCGTGAAAAGAATAGTAACAATACAAAAAAGTTTATTGAAGAGAGAAAAACTGCAGCGCTCAAACAGAACAAAGAAAGAGAAAAACTGAAGAAAGTGCATGAGAAACAACTACAAGATCTTGCCAGAGAGACTGAATCCGTAAGTGAATCTTTTAATTTTTTTTTTTTTTTAAATCTCTCACTTGAAGAGGTATGTAAAGTTCTTAACGAAAATTATCTTATCACTAAACAAACAAAAATATAGAGGATTCAGTTAGCCCTGTTTTTTTAAAGCAGGGCTAACTTAATCCTCTATTTTAAGTAAGTGAAAAATGTGAATATGAGATAAATGAAGTTTGACAAAAATGAAGTCGAATGTACCGTGAGTAAAAATTTTGGTACAATTAGTTAGAGTTTAGGCCGAAACAACAAAAAAAAAAAACATAAAGATCGTATAGTTTTAAAAATATTAACATTAGTACACAAAAGAAAAAAAAAATAATAAATTAACCTAAATTTGCCGAAAGGTTCGATTCAAAAAAAAAGATTTATTTATAAAAAAAAAATCACTTACCTAAAGCTTTAAAATACACATGCTGAAACAAAAAAAATACCCCCCCCCTTTCTTCATTACCTAAAACATGTTTAAATACAATGGGGAAAAAAAAGGAAAATCAAAATTATGTTGAGAAATGACTCCAATCATTAAGATAAAAAAAAATTATTTATTATAATAGCATGGTTATCAGGATATATTATCAGGATTATAAAATGTAATTTTAGGTTTTAAGGTTTTAAGATGCAAGGTAGTTGGCAAGGTTTACAATTTGTTAAACTAAAAGTTCATTAGATGGAAATTAGATGGAAAGTTCATTAGATGGATGGCTGCATTCACTCTATTACTAATGCAATTAAAAAGGAAACGAAATCATACCACGTGCCCCTTGGCACGGACTTGCTGGCACTTCCTCATGGAGATCTCATGGATCATGGAGATGAACAGGATCTTGATCATCATTTTATCTTCTTTTCATACTAATCATGTAAGCTTCAGTGCCGCTTTGCACGTGTTTCTTTCCAATTCCACATGGCTTTCTTTCTTTAGCCACAACGTCTATCAGGTAGGAGAGCGAGAGAGAGCAGGCTTTTTGCACACCGCGCACACTTCCTTTTATATACTTTCCAAAAACGCCACCATTGCCAACACCTCAAAACTCACAAACAGAAATAATTTTTCAAAAATAAAATTATTTTAACAAAAATTGAAAGATAATTACAAAATAAAAATACCTTGCATATGTTGTGAAATAACTTAATCATTTAACTATTTAACCAAATTTAAAAATTTAATTACAAAAACATATCAAATCAGCAGAAGAAAAAAAACTACTTCAACTGAATAAACTGAAGTTAAGTCATGATTGATGCTGCCACCTGTCTGCTAAAAAAGAAACTAACTGAACAAATGTTTTAAAAAAAACAAACCTGTTCACTATTATTCAAAGAAACAGTTAAATAAATCTTTAAAAAGAAAAAGTTATTAGTCTAAAATTTAAATTAAATTAAATACCTAAAAAAAACTGAACTCTTATAAGTAAAAATAATAAAGTTTACCAAAAAAAAAGAAATTTAAAAAGTTAAAGGTAAATAAAACATGTAGAATTTTTGAATTCTACACGAATCTTTCATAACGAAGATGTTAATGTCATAAAACTCATGTGTGCCGTAAAATTCCTTAAATGACCTCTCTTAATTTATATTTTTAAGATCCGTACCAAAACTGAAAAAAAAGTTAACACGTTAGGAGTTTGAAAACGAGATCGCTATCAAAATCTGACGAATCACAGTGCAGGATAGCATATGTAATAAACAACAAAACTGGCTTGATTCTGGGAGAAGGGGGACATTGAGTAGTTGAAAGATAATTATTTAAAAACACATTCAAGTTCTAACGTCTAATTAAATCTGTTTTGATGTTTATTATATCCTCCTTTTTCACTGTAATTTGTAATATTTCCGTAGCATTTTTTTCCGCAATCAAATATTAATTTGCAACGGCCTTGCACAGCTTTTGTATGGATTCTAAAATGCATGTTAGGGTTAGTATTTACGGAACACCCTACATATAGTTAGATGAATGGTTTTATTGCATCTTACAATTTTATGCAATAATTTTAGATTTTAATAATTTCTATTTTTTTCTGCTCTTTCCTCTTTCTTTACTCTTATCTTCTGTTTGTTATATATTTTATTCGTGTATGTTTTGGCACTTGATTTCAATACAATTTACAAATGCCATTTTTTAAAAATTGCATGATTTTGTTTTTCTTTTTAGGCAATAGAATCTTACAACAATGCAGAAGCAGAATACAAGCTGGCAGCCAAAATGGAATGCTTCATCTGAAGCGATGAAAAAAATATTCCGTTCGCAAAAGCCATTCCTTTTCATCTTATTTCCAAACTTTTTCATTGCTGCTGGAACGTGTCAAAGGAATCCCACTGTGCCAAATCAACTCAATTCTTTCTTTAAGTTTTTTTGACACGATCTTGTAGTTTACAATTCCGAGTATTTGATTACTAGTCTTAGCGACTGGATGTATTCTCAAGACGGAGAAGAAAAAAATTTCGCTTCACTGAAAGCTATTCAAACGGTGCTGGAACTTTCAAGCATACATTTTTCTTGATATTATGTAAAGTTTCATATTGCATATATGACAACATTAACAGTATTAAATATTTATTTTTAATTATCAGATCGAATGTTTTAAAAATTCGTTGCAAGATTTTATTGGATAAAAACTAAATTGGTTGCTTTAAACCAAAGAAGAATTTCAATACCTTTGAGATGACTAGTCAAAATTATGTGATATATGCCTGGCAATTTTTACAATTTTCATTTACTGTTATGTGTATTGTTTGCATAGGTATAACTATCTCTTTTCAGTAATGTATGCATTTGTGAAAATTTCATAATTATTTTAAAAAATTAAATCTCAAAATTGCTTCCTATTTTTGATGCTACTTGACACTAAGTGTTAATTATAAAATGAAGAAGTTGTATTGATTAATTTTTCACTCGTTGCTGTTTTAAATCATGCTCAATATTGTTTTTCAAAATGTTTATGACTGAAAGCTTACAAAATATAAAGCATTTCAAAATGAAATTGTAATTAACTTTTCAAGTATCAATTCCACATTCATTTTGCATTTTTTTGTAGAAATCTTCACTTTTTCTTAAACATGATGTTTTTCAATCTGTATTGAGAAGATAAAAAAGCTCATTAGAAGAGCTCATTTCTCTTTACAAATTAAATTATTTTATAAAAAGAACAATTAAAGTTTTTAAGTGTAATCATATTTCAAAACTCACAACTCTTATAGATATACATATTCATTTTTTATTAATATTGATAATAATCAAATGTCAGGCTGTCAATATTAAGCTATACTGATATTTTCATGAATATCGATTAAAGGGTTCTTAGGCCTGGAAAAAAATTTTACACAGGAAAAATTCATCAAAATGGATTCAAATATTTATCATTATTTCAAAGAACTTCTAATAGAAGATATTTTTGTCTGAACAATGAATTAGGCAATATAGTCTAAAACAAAGGCAATTTATATGTAGACTTGCCAATTTGAATGTCTTTCATTACATTTTACTCAGAAATATTTTCATTATCTTAAAAAAAATCATTAATTTCAGGAAAGTTGAACTGAATTCTGCATACAATATTGCTTTTATATTTTAAGGTTTATTCATATTTTACCTCTCAAATAAATTTGAGTATTATTTTTGAAAAATGTTCAAAATATTTACTAAATATTATATAAGTATTACTAGTATTACTAGTTACTAGATATTACTAATTATTATACAGACTTTATGTAAATTCCTTTTAATTAATTATTATTTCAAAATAATGAATGATTGTTATTTTGTACAAAATCACTATACTCAAAGTATAATTTGTTTTGAGAAAAAGAGTATTTATCCCTTTCATGAAACAATGCTCTGTGATATCAAATGGATGCTATTAAAGACTACATATATAGATATATACATATATTTATGTTATTTTGTCCGTTGCTTAAGTAGTCCATGATTAAATGAGTTATGTGCTTTTTGGTAATAGACACTTGGTGGTATTTGTAGAAAGTAAATAACCTATCTATGGTTAGATTTTATTGTTTGGTATTTTGATTTGGCGATCGATTTCGATGAGAGAAAGTTGAAGTTACTATGAACGAAAAGTATCATATGTGTCATACTATTTGAAATTATACTACTGCTACTTAGAGTTAGGTTTCTAATGCTATGAATGCAGAAAAGTTTTAGTCTTTATTAGTTACAGTAAAAAGTGTTTATCCCGAGCAATCTATAGATGCATATTTGATTTGGCGAAAACTGTATCCAAATTTAAAAACCAATGCTGTTATAAGTTTTATCTATTGAACTATGTTAGCTACTATTAATATTAACTAAATATAATCACATTAGCATGGTTTTGCTCATCGTTAATAGAAAAAAGACAAATAAATTTGGAAAGTAAAATAATTATATGATTATCGGGGTCTCATCATCATCATAGTTGGCCAGATAGCCCAATGTGAGCCAATGCCTTCCTCTGAAGATTTCTCCACGATGACTTCCGATTTATCTTTGATCTCCAATTTTTTTCATTAATCGGGGTCCACAAAAATCAGAAGTTTCCATGAGTCAGGATTAATTGTTGGGAAACGGCATGTAATGAAATAAAAATTAGCTCAACGGCTTTTTGTTTTCGTGCAATTAAGTGAAGAAAATATTTAGTTTCTGATTTATTATTATCTAAAACTAAATAAAATAGCCACATGTATGGTAGATAATTGTAATGCTCAAACAGCAGTAGAAGATAAAATCGCATAACATCCAGCGTATTTACACTGGATGTCTTTAGAAAGAATTTTCGGAAATATTCTAATTTCCAAGTTTAATTCAAATTTATTAAAGTTATAAGCTTAAATTTTATTAAAACTGTATTACATGATCCATCAATTTTTGGGATATTAGAATATAAGTATGACAAAATATATTTGTTAATTACAAGTATTGTGATGTAGAAACAAATAATTTGTACTTCTTTAACGCAAAATCTTCTATGCATCCAAATAAAAATCACATTTTGAAGCAACATTAGGATATTAAAATCTAAACAAAAGAAACTGTAATAGAATGGAACGATTAATTAGTGATCTGTGGCCGTGTATAAATCAATATTTCCACATGAAACATTTATTTTTAATTATTTTCAAATTGACAAAAAGTTACAGAATCGTCATAAAAATATTTGATTATTTATTGATTTTTCGTACAAGATGTAGGTATTGTTATTTATTTAAACAAAACTTTAAAAGTTCTTATACTTAACGCATACTTACTCTTGCACAAAGATGGATTTTTGATATAATATGTCTCACTTTTGTGTTGCCAATACGAAATATAATGATTTAATACTTTAATAAATGAAAGTCTAAAAAGGAATATTTCATCAACAACTGGTTAAATAAGGTTAAACTTGATGCACATTTTTACAATGGGCTTCTGTTATTGAACTTATTGTGCTTTAGCGCTATTGAACTCCGATTTTTTTTTTCAAGAACTCAGAACTAATTTCTAAATAATGGAACGACGAATAAAAAGCAGCGATTCTACATACTTCCACATAAAGTTCATAACGTCTTCCTTCATAATGGACATATTTTAACGACAGTTTATTTAGTGAACATCAAAATTCCCATGCTTGAAATTCCACAAATGGTCTATGATCTTCCGATAGATAGGGGAAAAGTTCTTAATAAAAAAACGTCCTTTTTTAAAATTAAATTTAGTACGTAACAATTATTATCATGTTTATTATTATTACATAGAGTGCACGGTGTAAATCATTAAGAATCCGCAAAATTTGCAAAACCCAAAAGAGCCACAGTGTTATCTCGGAGAAAATAAAAATGTTAACAAATCTGCAAAATTCTGAAAAGGTGTCTTGATATGGAAGAGTACCAAGATAGTACAAAAGCATAATAAATATGAAAGATCTAATTGTTATAATTTTAGACCATGGAAATGATAATAAACCTGCAAAATCCTGAAAAGGTGTACTCGTATGAGAGAGTACCAAGATAGTATAAATATAACAAATACGTAACCTCAAATTTTTATATTTTTTGACCATAGTTATTTACAGACAATTATGGCAAAAAATAATATGTGAAATATAACTAAGTATTCATTCGTATTTGATTAGAAATAATGCACTTCAATTAAGAACTTGAAAGATTAAATTGAAAGATCAACTAAGAAATACATGCTTGCATTGCATAAGGAGGGTTCTCTTTGTGTATTTTAGATTGTTTTTGGTTGAGTTCACGATTCCTTCTCATTTTAGATAACTGTCGCGCATTTCCTCTATAAAAAATACAGTTATCAGTTCTGATCACCAATAATCAACATTCACTTCAATTAAACACTACTTGTTTCATGAGTTAACTTCTTACGAATGTGCAATCCAAGGTTAAAAATGATTATATGATTATAACGTTTGTTTGGTGACGCCTACAGACGTTTATTCAGAGATGTTTAATAGAAATATTCCCTTAGTGAGATTTTTGAATGAAAGCATTAATCTCATTGTATGGAGTTGTACATCAGGCGGCATGCTTTAGGTAATAGTTGTTCGAAAATGCTATCATTGGTTGGATAGCTCATAAGTCTTTCTTAATGTGTGATTATGTGATGATATATATCTGATAGTCAGTGTGTGATAAATATCTGATGGCTTTGCGGTGACATTCGTTATTGGAATTAAATGGTGGTATCATTCTCGCAAAATGTTAACATAGAGATATACATCTTTCAATATGCTATAGTCATCTTCCAAATAATGTTATCTTCTTATCATTATCTTTAGCTGAGTAACGTTGGACTGGGCGTTCCATAAGAAAGTCATGCGCAATTAGATATACCTCTTTAATGGAACGTTTCTATTGCGGTATACATTATAGGATGCGTTTGCGTAAAACAGTATTTACGCACCATTATCATTAATTTAAAATTCATTTTTTGGGAGGGGTAAAAAAAACAACTACTATAAATTAAAATGCTTCTTATTAGAAACAAATTGTACCTTATTTAAACAGTGAGATTATTTTGAAATGGATATATGAAATCAGTATTCACCAATTTCCAATCGACTTCAAAAAAAGTATTCATAAAAATAAAATTATTATAACAACCTCATGTGACTACACTTAACATTTAGCATGTAACAAGCATTTTAAGTCTTCATGTTATTAAAAGTTTCATTCATTAACTGCATTGTTTAGTTTTTGGATATTAAATGTATTCTTAACATATGACCGCGTTTGACACGGAGATGAATAATTCAGAAGCACATTTAGAACATTTTTTCAAGTGTATATAAGAAGTGTGTATAAGAATTTTAAAATATTTCATGTTTTGTATATTAATGAAATTCTCATTGTTTTGTTCTTATATTCAAAGGTTTTATGATTATTTAAAATTGAAATTGATTAAATCTATTTAAAGTTTTGGGTATGTCTTAATTATTATTATAAAAAACTCTCACTATACATTAAACCACAATGTTTTTTATTTCATTTATCTAAAACAGCTCAAATATTTCTTTCATCGCAACATTTTTTAGAACACATATGCAGCTAATTGTTCTTTATGATAGTTATAAATATTTTAAAATAGAAAATTTCGAAGTTACATTTCTTCAATTGCTTTCTCGGTGTCTAGAAGTACTAAGAAAGCAGCTCTGTGCTGAAATTAAAAACAAATAATTGTTATGTAATCTTATATTATTTTCTTAATTATTCATATGCAAATAATTTTTGATAGGCTTCCATAAAGTTCCTATATAATTAAGTACGACTTAATATTTTATAGAACCAAACACATTTTCATTAGAAACTGGATGCCGGTTTTTTTCAAGGTATTATAGAATGAACATTTTGAAAAGCCAACTTTATTATAATTGAGAGTTGTGCCATCATAAAAATGGTAACTGGTGTGATATTGCTCACTATTTTTTACAATAATTTGAAAGTAATCGAAATTCCTCGAAATATATTTTTAAAAACACCAAGGAAACTTCACACTTTTTTAATGTGTTCAGTGACTAACTGTTCAGTGATATACTACTTCAGACAATTCTGGAAATATTGCGCAGGTCTTTGGGCTACATTTATCTCCACAAGCTCGTCGTAAAATTTTCGCCGACACCAAACGTTTACCGCAATTAGAGTCCCTTGCATCGAACCTAAATTCGAGAGTTACGACAACAGCTGCAAAGTTGTCCGGAATAGATGTTTCAAAAATGAAAGATAGTGGACAATTACTTTTTTTGATACTTTTATTTAAGAGTCATTTTTTTAAACATTTAAGCAACAGTGACATAAACTAAAAAAGATTCTCTAAAAATTGAAAAAAATATTAATCGTTGCTGTACTTCCAAAACCTGTTAAGTAAAAAATCATTACTTTTCATGAGACACAAAAAGCCTCATATCTGAATCTACAACACGACATACAAGATTTAGTCAGGTACCTAAATGATTTCAAAACGACCATTTCCATTGGTAGTTGATATTAGATCTTTTGTGAGATTTTGCTATTCTTCTCCCACTATCGTTTGCAAGAATAAAAGAGAAATCAAAAATTTTGACTTGCAAGGTTTTGAAATCTCAGTGACGTAATATAATTATAAGTATGAGTAGATGATTACGCACTGAAATTTGTTTCTAGGATTATAAAACAGAAATAAACATGATACCATCGAGGTGCACTTTAATGAAAGATTTAAACTAGAATGTTTAGTAAAGTGAGGGAGTGCTGGCCTAAATTTTTAAAATCTTTCCAACATTCAATTCGCAAACACTAAGACCGATTACAGACTTTGTGAATAATTAAATTACACTCCTATTTTTAAAAACATGTTTCAATCTGAAGAATTATGGTGTGGTAAGTATCTAGTTTTCGTCTATTTGAAACTTCTGAATTCAACAATATAACAGATGAGACTTTTTAATTTACGTACCCTATGATCTGGTAAAATTTGCCCAAAAGACTGCATAATGAGGTAATCTTCATAGCACGCTGCTGTGAACTCTTCGTACGAAATAACACCATCCCCATCTAAATCCTACCATTAAGAAATTAATTAAATTATCCTCTCATTTTACTGAAATCTTGATACATTAATATTATAATATTAATATAAATATATCATTATATTTCTTATTATTTCTGACATTCTCAAAAGCAACGTACAGTCTAAGGAATTTCCTTAATATTCGAAGAGTTGGTCCGTTATTAATCCGGTCAGCTATCTTCTTTGAAAAAATGAACCTTGTATCCGTAATTATTACGAGATTGGGAAAAATGAGTAGATTTGACCATTAATTTATACAATCAGCTCTTTACTTCAATGACAAAAAAAAAAGCTTATAACTGTAACGAACCGCAGCAAAATATGTAAAGTTAACCGTTAATTTATACGGCTACTATACAAAGTTTCTAGCACAATTTGGAATTTGTTCATCCTCTTACATGGTGGCTATAGCATCCGTCTACGAACAAAATGGTCCCGGGTTCGAACCCTACGCGATGCCAAAAAAAACTTCTCACTTACCTTACCTCCACGAAGACGCAACTCTCTTACTTCTGGACAGATGGCAGCACTACACTATTTGGCCAAGTTTACGATTTACCTTGATTCGACAAACGAATCGCAGGAATCTCACACAACGTCAAGGCCCGAGCTGAAGATAACTTTTGCGAGTATAGCGTTAATTTACAGTCACCGGTTATAAATTTTACAAGAAAAAAATTACGTGCAGATTTGCATGTTTATAATCAAAGAATAGATTTACAAGCATAAGTTTATTTTCACGGTCAGTGACTTAAATAATTTTTGGCTTCCATTGACCATAATCTAGCAGTAAAATTTTTAAGAATATAATAAAATATGATATTTCGTATATTCATGTATACTAATATTTAGATATTCATATTAATATATAATGATATTAATATATAATGATATTAATATATAGTGATATTAACGCATATTCAAGTCATTAATAATAATGTTTCAATGTCAATATAAAACTCTTATTATATATTTACATAGTTATTTTAATACAGTGTTAGCATAATTATTGAGATTAATAATAACTTATTGTTGATATATAATAGTATTAACATAATTAGAGTTATAATAATAGTACAATTATGTTAATGCATAATATTAATTTAGTTATCAATATTACAATATTATCTTTATATGGTTATCTTAATTATAGGATCGATATTCTTCTGCACTAGAAACAAAACAAATAAATAATATATGTTTATAAAATATATCTATACATTTATATTGACATGTAATTAGAAGAATATATTACAATTAAACCTGTCGATTTGACCATCCTTGTAAATCGAACCCCTGTCTAAGCTGACCTCAATTATCAAGAACCAAATTTACTCTATATAATAGAAGAGAGCAAGGTCTTTTTTACCTGATCACCTTTTATATCTTGCTGTTGACAGCTGAAAAAAGTCACATTTTTCTAGAAGTATTATTCAATGATAAACTCTACATAATTTGACCAAAAAATATAAAACTTTCTATAATATTATGTTACATATTAAAATGTCACTAAATTGATGAATCAGTATTAGAAGATAGCCTAAACTTTGTAAATTGACCATAAAAAGAAACTTATGAGGACTTTTGTTACAAATAGGCATTACAATTACGATAAAATAAATTTTAGAATGATTAAATGAATAAACAATTAAGTTTTCTAATTGATCTGGTATATATTTGTAAAAACTATTTACAATTGATCCTTTGCATAGCTAACAATATGTGCATATCTATGTTTTAAACTAACCAGTTTAATGTCAAATATATGTTACAAATTGTAATTAATTTAAAATTTAATCCCATTTCTTTTCATGAATAACATGATTAACACGATATCCATAAAGATAACATAATATAAGAAATGATTATAAAATTATTCGTCCCTTTCTATCAGTTGACCACTTGTCCAAGTTGACTACTAAAGCAATGCATCACAACTGGCCGACTTAAGCAGGTTTCACTGTATTAGCATAACAAAATGTTTCGTCATATCGCAGGAACTTTTTAAACAAGTCGAAAAATTTTTGCATATAACTCGTGTATCTAAAGACAATTCCATTCAAAAAAAATTAAAGCATTTAATAATTTTTAGAATTTTGTTTAATCATGAATGAAAATATTTTGAACTGTATGATGTGCAATTTTTTTCATTATTTTAAACTATGTAATTTTAAATAATAAAATTTAAACCCTTAAATAAAATCGGTTACATAGTTTTCAAGAAAAATTTTGAGAACACTACTTTTTCGAAATTTTACACTGCTTCTAACTTTTTATTTCAATTTAACACAATAGAGCCATTCCATTCAAAATTATTTATTTTTAACATATAGAAGAAATTAATTTTAACACATGATTTAAAGGCATTCAACTTTCTACAGTAAATTTGATAAAATAATGTATTAATAATTTATTTTCTCATTTCGTTCACTGTAAAAGATTCTGGGTTCGAAATCTGGGCAAGGCATGGTTATTGTTTAGTGTTCGTGTTATATTGAGCTATAAAGTAGCGGACTGTAACAAACATAAACATTTATTTTGAAACTTAATAACATAAAATTGACAAGATCATTTTGAGTGACAGGGGGATGTTCCCTGTTCTAGAGTTGAATGGCAACTGAATAATAATGTCATATGATGAGAGCGCCGCCTCGTGGCAATTCTTAACAGTTATTCTTATTCATTCTCTGTACTATCTGCCCTTACTGTGGGAGCAATGCTGGCCCACCTAATATGGTGTCCCTGAAAGAGTGGCCAATAAATCTGGCCTGTAAATATCTGAACTGACAAAATGCTAACACAGGTGAGCATTGGAAATTTTAAAAAAATGTAGAAAATTCCAGATCAAATTAAGGTAAAAAGTTTTGGCTCTCAGGGTGCATGTGCGCTTTTATCATCAGCTGACTTATATGCAATGTAAAATCCTTTTTTACCGATACACAAAATCTGATATATCGTAATTCATTGAATGATTCAAATTAAATAACTATTACTGTAAAATTTACGGTATAATATTTTACGGTAAAATTTGATTTAACGATAAAAATGGAAGAGTAAAAGGGAGTTTACGATAAAAAGGAATTTTACGGATGATGCACCCGAAGTGTCTATACTTTATATCGTAATTTGATTCCGATTTTTTACAGTATAGTTAAATATCTAAATTTCTTTTACCATTTTAGAAAATACAGCTTCCACAAGATCTCGTAAAGCATCAGCATTATTGTTCTTTGTCGGTGGCTAAAATTAAAACAAATGAATTAAAAATCGAAGCATATTAACTTAGTTCAAAATATTCTAAGATTATAATCGATTAGAAAAAAGATTTCATATCAAATCGTACCTCGTTCAGAGCCTCGAGAAGTAATGTTGTTATGTCATCTCTTGTTAACTCATTATTTTCACTCAGATCATAACAGGTGAAACACACTAAAAATATATCTATAATAAGAACCATAACTAAGAAAACACTTTTTTTGTTTTAGAAACAAGCAAAAAGAATGAAATAAAGGTGTTCTAAATTACACTGAGACAAAATAATATAGATAAAACTAACAGAATATGATAAAATTTACCTTGTTTCTGGCTCTATGGAAACATCAAAAAACTCTGTAATTTTTACTGAAGCGCTTTAGTAATGATTTTAGTAAAATTAACAATAAAATATGGCTTAATAATATGTGATGAAAGTTGGCAAATTCGGAAAAAAATAGAGTAAGCTAAATTTCCTTTTCAGTTTTGTATTTTTACCTAAATGTGGGATAATACGAACTATTTTGAAAACCATAATTTTCGATAAATCGTTACCATATGATCAAAAAAATGCCGGAATAATGCATTTTTTTAACCAGAAATGTCATTACCATACAGTTCCGGAGTTTTGCTAAAAAAATTTCCCCTGTATATTTTCAACTTTGATATGCTGGTGTGTTCAAAGTACGAGTTAATAATGCTGATAAATTTTACTGCTTGCACTCGTTTTAACAACTAATGAGATATTTTGCTAAGTAAGTAGAAAAAAAGATTTTTTTTTCCGGCTTATATTTTTTATACTTACATTTGATTTTTGCATCCACTGTTCCACGGAGCATGATCAAGACAATTCTAATAAACTCTTCCAGATCAATTCGCTTATCCTTGTCGACATCAGCAGCCGTGAAAACTATAGTTAACAAATGAATAGCTATGTCAATTTCTCTACTCTCTACAGATTATAGTTTTTGTTCATTATAAATTTTGGAAGTAGTTCAATCTATTCATAACTAAGTAGAATTGTAATAATTTTTTGAATTACTATTTTCTTATTCTCGCAGTGACAATTTTTATTTCTTTAGGATACTGTTTGACATTTCTGTCATTTACTAATGAAAATCAATTTAAAATTCAAATTTTTCCTTAGAAATAAGTTAAAAAGTCTGTAATTAGAAACTAAATAAAGAACGAACTGAATTCTACGGAGGAGAGAGGAACACGGGTAAATAGGGGGCCCGTGTGAACATGGAATGCTTTATTAGGATAATATGAAATTAAAAATCCATAAAAGTTCTCAACAGATAGTAATCCCTGTCCTTCTTCATAAAACTTTCTGTGCAATGCTCCTTTTTCATTCAGTAGTGACGATTTTTTATTTTATTTCAACAGGTAAGGTATTCAGCAGGCTTTTATCAACGAAAACCCTCAATTCAAAACATAGTTTAAACTAATTTATAAGTTGAAATGAATTATTGTAAAATATTACAACAACATTTAGATAAATTTTTAAGCATTTAAATGTTTTCTACAGAATTAAGAATTCTTTATTTATGCAAAATATGCATGATAAAGATGATAATGTACTAGTGAACAGAACATATGGTGCAGATGTTAAAAGTTCCCATGTGCTCCGCCATAGGATTTTCATAAGCCATTCTGCTTTAGCCGTGATGGCTCATGGGATGGAGCATTCGTCATCGAATGAGATGAACTGGGTTCAAATCCCAGCGATAGCAGGTCGATACGAATTTTGCAGCAGGGTTGCAAAATTCGTACCGACCACAGTGCTGACGTAAAATATCCTCAATAGTGTACGGATCATGAGTTAGAGTCCCCAAAACGTCAGGCTAATCTTGGGAGTTTTTCGTGGTTTTCTCCTCCATGTGACGCAAATGCGGATTAATTCCATCAAAAAATCCTATATGAAGGCAATTTGCTCCCAAAACTTGACGCAGGACAGGAGTTCCCTCGTCTTCTAGATGGGGTTCAAAATTACAAGACTACGGAGTTGAACATTAGTAGTCGTAAACCCAAAATTGAGACGGCTGTTCAATGACTTGATTTATATATATAAAGTTTTGGCTCTCAGGGTNTATATATATATATATATATATATATATATATATCAGTATCAAAATCTCCCAATTCATTACTTAATGTATAATGTCCCTAAATATAGGACCATTTTTGAACAATTGAAATCATTTTTTAAAAAACTTGCCATGAAGTGAAAAACATGAAGGGAAATAAAGAAATGTTCCTTAAAAAAATTTAAAAAATTCCGTACGATAATTAAATAACAGTTTAAACGCTAACACGCATAACAACATAAACAATATTATACATGAAGAAATAAACTTTACTTCTGTCCATGAAAAAAACGTCCACAAGTCCGAATGAGATATGGAGAAACTCAGAAAAAAGTGGTAAATCCATAAACCAGTTTCCTTTAACATATTTCTTGAATATATCACGAATTTTTTTTATTTCCATTTCATGAACTGAAAAAAGCACTTCGTTAATTGGGTCAAATTAATAGAGGGGGTGATTTGCAACCAGTGCTAAAAACTTTTAATAAAGTGTAAAGCGCATGTAGAAGAATAAGTATCAAACTATATTGCTGAAGGGTTCTAGATCTGAAATAAATTCTTCGTGAATGAACAACGCTTGATCTTTTCACTTTCAAACAAGCAAACGGAGTATAGAGACAATACACAAATATTTGCCTAAACTTAATTCCAAATCTAAACAAATACCTACCCGGTTTTAAAGCATGCTTTTTTTACGATACACAAACAAGCAGAGCTAAAAGAAAAAAAATAATAGCTATAATTGTCTATGTAACAAACTACCCTCTCTATTCGTCTCGAACAATGACTATGGTTACGAAGTTTAACTATTTCGAGTAAGTCAATATTTAGAACAGACTAAACAGACTGTACGTGACAGAAATAGTTGAACTTCTTTCCTAGCGTCGAAGATCAACAGAAGTTTAAATACTTTAAATAAATGCCGATTGCTAACGCGTAGAATGTAAAATTGCCTACCAGCCAACAGGGGTGAATCAAGAAACCTCGAAAAATAGGGGTGATGATTAAAGGAGGGAAACTTGGTGGCAAAATGGATAGCGTTTTGCTTCTAGCTAACACCTCTGGCATCTAATAGGCTTGTCTGTTTTCGACTTCAAAACAGATATTTACTTTTCCACATAATTCGTGATCACTCGAATGCGCCATCTGGGAAGAAGACCGGTTCCATATCTTTACCTTCCCTTTTCCTCTTCTCCTCTGCTCAATTGTATGCGAGTCCATTTCAAAATTCCGTACCTCAAAATTTCCCCTTCCATAATAATTTTCGCATTTATCTATCAAAAATATTTTCTAAAATTTCCACACCTTCTTTTAGAACTGTGGGACGAGTCTTATCAACAATGTCAACCTTTATCTATGAAAAGGTATCGCAATATAGAATTGAGTTAACATGTCTTATATACTAGTGAATTAGAATTGATTAATTGTAGTGGTAGACACGCTACAGTACTCCGACACCAGAATTTTATCTGTGATAAAATTCTAGGAGCGGATAACACTAGTTGTGTCATTGCTGCTTTGTGAGAAGCCAAGCCGGGAGAGCTTTATTAAGAGCACCGGAGTTTGAACGTTGGTCGGGAGAGCTGTTTTAAGATCATGGTTGTGTGCATGGTCGCTCCTGCGTTGTAATGAGCAGTCGAGTATGTAGACGCCGTAATGTGTGATAGAAACTGAAAAACAACTTCACGGGAGGACTACGTCGCAGTCAAAATAGCAAGTCAACCGTTCAATTTGGACCATTTATCGAAATAGGCCTGTTAAAACTGAAGTGGGAGTATCTGTTGAAGTAGGCGTGTTCTGATCACGGCTGGGTCACCAATGAGGGGCATAGGCTGCCAACACTGTCAACCGTCATCTATGAAAAAGTACTCGAGCATGGAATCGAGTTAACATGCGGTATACACTAATGGATTGAAATTGATTAATCGTAGACACGATACAGAACTATCTTTAATACAGTTTTGAATTCCATACAGAATTCTAACTTAAATTTTAATTTGTCTGAAAATCAAGATAGAAACTAACGTACTTTCTTCTACTATAACTTCCCACGCGTTAATGTGAAAGCATGCGAAATGTTGCAATAGGTTGAGAGTTCTGCTCTGCGCTACCTGCAATCCATTTCGATCGCCAATTACTGGTTTATCAGAATTTAGATAAAAATAGGAAATATTAAACAGCTCCACCCGTTATACGCTGACCATTACGGTAAGAAAATGCAAAAGAGAATAAAATACTACTACATAATAATAACAACATAATAAAAATACATAAGTATAACAGAAATCATTGTTAGGAGACATTTTACAATGATGAACAGCTGCATGCCACAAAAAGTATTTGAAAAATTTGCAAAAACTATCTCGCATGCTTCACAGCAGCGTTAAGCATAACAAGTAGCATTCTGGAAAATCCTGTCGTGTCAGAAAGATTCAGCGAATGGTTTCCAGCCAAACCTACACAGCTACAGACATCCTCAGAACATCTTTGAGATAACTTTTATAGAAAAAAAGCTGTATTAATGGAGCCGTGCTGTCTCTCGTACCAAAGTTTCAAGTTGACCTCTGCAGAACAGTTCCATGCATGATAAAACAGGTCCGTTGATCTAACAAGTTAATGCACCAGTGTCTATGGCCTCTCCTGTCTGACGTAGAGCCCATAGTATAGAGGCCTTAGTCTGATGGAGGCATTTCGGAACTTGCAGTACCATACAATTCCGATTCTTCTTTATCCCCTCTTGCAAGATTGCCACTTTTGTTGTGAAACCCCAGTATGGTATTAATAAATAAAATCGACAATAAAAACAGCTAAACCTACATTAGAATTACTTGTAAAAATGATTTTAAAAAAATAATAATAAATAAATAAAACTATCCTACTTTTGTAGCATGTTAAAATATCTCTAACATTTCTATAAAATGTTACCAAAATATAAAACATACACTTCAATTCTGACGACAATTTCTCGACGAGAAGAGATTCTTCAGATTTTGTTAAATCACCTTTTTTCCTGTATGTTTCTTTCGAAGCTTCCATGAGTTATTATTTTGAGTTTTCCCTCGTATTTGTAACGATATTTTGTTTAAAATGCACTATTGCTTTTGTATTTCCTAAAATTCAATGTGACTTATTTAAATTATACTTAGTCAAACCCATTTCATTCTAAGCGAGCGAATACGCGACTTAACATCTCCCTCATCGTCTTCTTTTGGTTTCACATAATTTTTTGCTTTTGCACAGTCTACATATGTTTTGAAATTTCTTGAATTATTCTTATATCATTGAGAAGTTATAAGGTATTTTTAGTCAGCTAAAATATAAAGAAGCACCGAGAAATATCTATTCTTCTATTTTTCTCAATTATTTCCGTATTCAACACTAGGAACTGGCTTAACTATGTTCAATACAATTTTTAGTTTCAAATAGTTTCCACTTTTTACAAAAAATTTTTAATGATTTCAAAATCGAAGTAAAAATTAACGTATCATACGCTGACAGGCTAAAAAAAAAAAAACAGCATCTTTTTTCTAAATTTTTTGAAGAAATTGTTAACTGAGAAAAATATTATGTTATTATTAAGTAGATGGCGCCTCTATTAGATAAAAGTAATTCCTCTTCTCTTGACGCACGCATTTGATCCAAAGAATATAGTGAGAATAACACTTAAAAGCTTTCTGGCTTCGCAAGGAGCTAACTTTGAAATCTTTAACTGTACAGAAATAAAAACACCGGAAGCATAACAGACGGCATTCTTGGTCACATATTAATTCCCAAATCATAGAGTTCTAAATCCAAAACTTTTAACTATTAATGTATGTTAATAATATTTATATATTAAGTTTTACCAGACATTCCTTTATTGATATAAATAGTTATTATTCTGTCATGATTGCTTACTGTAATTGAAGTGGTTGGTTTTTTAATTTCTTTTTTTAATATGATTTTTTTCATCATTCAAGTGAAATAATTTTTTAGAATGAATCGAATCAAAAAATCCAATTGCTGAACTTATACTAATGAAAAGTTTTAAATCGATTATGGATTTGTTCGTTAAAAAAGTTTTTGAAACTTGTACATTTAACTTAAGAATTTAGTTACTGACTAAAACCATATTTTTAAATTTTGTTTTGATGTCTCTTGCTATCAAATCATATTTTTATTTAACAAAAAAGAATTTTAGAATTTGTCTACATCATATATTCTATTCGTTTTTAGTTTAAAGAAATATAAGAATATTTCAGTTCAAAGAGTAAAGCAGCAATAATTTATTTTGTTTTAATTATGCCTTAATATCTTTTTAGCTCTCTTATTTATTTATTTTTTTCCTTTTATCATTCTTTTAATGCATGTGCATTTCGTTTAGGAACACGCAAAGCTTCTTGGTCTAGTTTTGTTAAATGTATTTTGTCATTCTTCTCTCCAAACCTGCCAGATAATTTGAGCTATCTAAGTCTCATAAGAGAACATTTTAGTTCTTTTCCTCTCTTACCAGCAGAAACAAGTAATCTACATGCTTTTTATATTCTCTTATATGCTATTTTTTTTAAATATATTCTTAAGAAAATAATTGGCAAAAGAATTCAGTAGCTTGTCATAAATGTATTCATATTTATGTTATAAATATATGAATGATATAGTGTTTAAATTAATGATTTTGCGCCCTTTACTTTTTTACAAAAAAAAAAAAAAAAAAAAACATTAAATTACAAGTTTTTTTTTTGTATGCAAGTTTTTAAATTTTACATATATTTCTCACAATTCATTATATTACTTTGAGAATTTTTCGTGAATTTTTTCCCAATACGAGGAATTTAGTTTCTTTTATAAGCAAGGCAGTAAAGCTCCTAAATCTTCATAGTTAACAAGACAGCAAATTGTTAATTCTTTCTTTTGTGACAGTGGAATTGCGTTGAACTTTTTTTTACATTTATGTGACGTGTTTTTAAAAATATTACACATAATTCTGATTGAATTTTTTTTTTTTTTGACAACTCGGAATTTATTGTTTCACACTGTTTTCACTTTCAAAGCTTTTCTGCATATTTTTTTGATAATTAACTTTATTTAATAATATATTTTCAATACATAATACTCTTAAAATATTACTAAAGTGAAAAATAAATTATCCTAACCTCTTTCACTTGAAATCTGCTGATAAGTGAATTTATTCATTTATTTTTGCCGATGTGTTTTTACTGGATTTTGTAACCAATTACCAAGATATTATACTACAAACAGTAATATATGGACATAATCCTTTTTCAATGAAACTGCATTATTGGTTTGGCAATAAGGAGCATATTGTGTCATAATTGGCAATGTTTTCATAACATTTTAATAAAATCTTGGAAAATAGGAATTTACTGTCATACTTCATACTAATGAGATGATTTGGTTAAACCGAAATAATCTGATATTGAAAACTCTTCTTTTTTTATCTGTTTATTTAATTGTAGAGTTTAAAGTAGGAGCCTTCACTCTTTTGCATCAGAAGGTAACGTCAACAAATTGAAAAAAAAAATATCACAGGCTAGTTATCTACTAGACAATGAATTATTCTAAAAATTAAGGTACTTTTTGATTAGCCAGGTGCAATTAAATTCAACTTTTTTTCTTTATTTATTTAAAATAGGTGTATGCAAAAAAATAGAATAAAAAATAGGTGGATTTACTTGCGCCTAACTAACAAAAAAGTACCAAAATCCATTTGCAGACAGAGGTAATAATTAATATACAATGCAATTATTTTTTTCACTTTAGAATTTTACTGTTAACCGACTTTACTGCAAAAAGATAAATATTTACCTCAAGTTTCTTTCTAATGAGGCCATCTTGCACACTAGTTGAGAAAGTGATATTTTTTTCCTCATTCAATAAAATACAAAATAAATTAGATAATAAAGTCTGTTGCCTTATTCTGTACAGAGAAACTGAAACAGGTAAAAGGCTCTGCTCATCACTTGCTCAAACTTTCACTTTTGATTTCAAACTCCGCCAAAAATTAAAATAAAATTAGATTAAAATCAATTCAGTTGAGTTTTTTTGGTATTTTAAATGAACCAGGCAAAATATTATATGTAGTTACAAAATGCTATTTTAATCGATGAACAATGTGCAAAAAATATTACATCCATTACAAGAGAGATGGATATCATTTTAGACTTAAATAAGTCTATCATTTTAGACTTTTAAAGTTAAATATTGATTTTGTTGAACAAAAGCATCAATATCATGTGAAATATTTGTTGTTGCAATTCATGCTTCATTTTTCAAATGAGTTCTTTTTTTTTTCTATTTTGTGTACTTCAGCTGAATTTTTATGTGTAAATTATTATTTTGTTCTCTGGACAATAAACACACTAATTTGCCAATATTTTCTTAAACATCAGTCATAAACTGTTTATTAGTTACCACCCAAAATAATTGTCATTCTACATCCTTTTTTATTTTTTTCTAACTGAGTGATGAGATAATTCAATTGGACACTAAAATATCATTTGTGAAACATGCATTAAAAAACTCTTGTTTAGAGACCAATTTCGTGGTTAAAAAACATATGTTGTTGAATAATTCACTCTTTATATCTTAGTACTTTTATGTTTTAATTAATTTAGATATGAGAGGTTCTACTGAACTGTAGCATAAATTTTGTATTTTCCACCATTTTGAAAGCCTTTATTAATACAAGTTTGTAGAGGTGCAATCATAATCAAAATATGGACGCAAAAGCATAGACTTTATGTAAATTTTTTGCAAAATATTTACATAATTTTATTTTTATTTAATGCATTTTTCTCATTAAAAGGGAATGTACAACCTTGAAATGGGTAATGTTTTCCTACATAAATATTTAAAAAATCTGAAAACAGGAATGTATGTTTTAATTTTCCATTTTATAAAGTTCCATTCTACAAATGATCTTTCTTTTTCAGATTTTTACCTTTCTTCACACATCAATTATTAAAAGCACAATTAATAAAAAATTCTAAATATGTAATGTTATCAATAAAAATTATATGCCGCAAAGATGGGTTCATTTACTGATGAAACATTTTATCTAGTTATTAAAAAATCTAAGATAAATATTAAAACTACTAACTGGATAGCTATATTACATAGTACAACGTTTCATATCAGGATGTCCATTTCCAAAGGTCTATTTTCTAAACACTTGATGACAAGCAACCCAAATAAATTTCTTTTCCTTTTTCTACAGAAAAAAATACACAATTTTTTCTATGTCTACAAAATTAATTTTATGTATAATTATAAATAAGATTTGGGGGTAGATAAGTTAAAGACCTATTATCCGGAAAAGCCTATTTTCCAGACTTGCCAAGGTCCCCGCAATTCCAGATACAGGACTTTCCACTGTAATACATAGTCTAATGAATCTTCCCAATATTATAGAAACTTTTCTTTATAATGATCCTTCTTTGTAAAGTTCTGTGTAATTGTAAAGTCTATTTATTTATTACTTTTTTAAAATTTAGAAATATCTGTATTAAAAAAATATTATCAAATATAAAATGTTTAATTTTTTCAAATATAAAATGTTATAAACCAGGAAGTATCGGTGCCCATTTTTTCTTTTTTAATTTATGAATTAGTTTTTAATCCTATTTTAATATTTAAAAATAATTAATCCTTACAAATGTATCATTTTATAAGAAATGTTTTCAATTTTTGATAATTGTTTTTAAAGAAATCAAAGTGATAATATTATACCGATATCTCAAACTATGCCCGCTGTTTTTAATGTTCACACTTTTCATCACGTGGCCGATAACAAAACAACTAATCAAATCATCATAATCTATTTAGTGTGTGCAAAAGAATTGGAGGAAAAAGATAAACTAGAAAATTCCTTTCATTGATTTTTTTTCTACTAATCTTATTACACACTCATTTTTTTTTACTGCGTTGATCATTTTATTATGTTGAAAAGAATTGTCCTTATAATTATATGATTTTAAATGTTAATTAGTAAAATGTAATGATTAATACTTATTTACTTTTACTGTCTATAAAATTTAAAGTATATATATATATTTTTTAGATATAATGGGTGATGATGCTCCAATAATCTATGGCTTGGAATTTCAAGCACGAACATTAAGCGCTCAATGTGCAGAGAGTGATATAATTCGATTTTTTGTTGGCACTCAATCACTCAAATTTGATAATCAAATTCATCAGTTAGAATTTGAAGAAGAAAATAATAGCCTAGTCAAAACCGTTTATCTTCACAGTGCTGGAGAAATTTGGCATATAAGCACTTCACCTAGTGATCCAAATTTATTATCAACATGTTACAATCAGATTACTCCTGATGGAAAATGTGAAATGCATGGAGCATTGTGGAAATTACCTCCTATTTCAAAATCATACAGTGGTGATGATTCTTCCTCTTATCCTCCGTTAGAATTTGTTGCAAGTTTAGATTCTAGTGATTGTATGGGAGAATTAAAAAGCATATTATGGGAACCTACAAGTGGTAAACGTATTTTAACCTTAAATGATAATTCTTTTCATTTATGGGATGCTAATGACTCCGTTCCTATTCAAGTATCTCACATGACTTCTGAGCAGAAAGGACGTCAAAAATTCAATTCTGGTGCTTGGAATCCTCATCACAATTGCAACATAGTTGGAGTCGCTGTTGATACGTCTATAAAAAGTTGGGATTTAAGATCAATGCAAAGCTCGTGGATGGTCGATAATGCTCATGGTCAGCTTGTGCGTTCCATTGATTTCAACCCGAATAAGCAGTATTATATCGCAAGTTGTGGAGATGATTGTAAAACAAAGTTTTGGGATGTTCGAAACACCCGAGAAGCTCTCCTAGTTTTGTCGAACCACTCGCATTGGGTTTGGTGTGTAAGGTACAACAGTTTCCACGATCAGCTGGTTTTGACATCAAGCAGTGATTCTAGAGTGATTCTTTCAAGAGCAGCATCAGTATCTTCCGAACCATTTGGACATTTGTTGGATGAAGATAATCATGGTGATGATGAAAATGGAAAGATTTCAGAGAAACAGGTTTCAGATGGTGTAATATCTATATATGAAGAGCATGAAGATAGTGTGTATGCTGTGGAGTGGTCTAGTGCAGATCCTTGGTTGTTTGCTTCACTTAGTTACGATGGTCGTCTTATAATTAACAAGGTTCCACGTGCTGAGAAATATCGAATTCTTTTATAAATAAGTGCTTTAAATTTTGTATGTTATTTAACTTTACGTTAAGAAAAGATGTATATTTATGGAAATAAAATTATATTTATTAGCTGTTTTTTTAATACAAATATAAAAATTATTTATAATAAAATGCTTTCTAACTATTGTTTGTTTTAAAATATTCTAATAATTTTTTCAAAAAAAATGCATGTTATATTTTAATATCATAAAATTAATTTACGGTGATATTTTCTGCATTTTGACAGCTCTCAAAAATCAATTCAGTGCAAAAAGAAACCGAGATGATTTTGTTTTACTTAAATTGGCATTCTTAAAGTTTACATAGCGCAGTCACTTCTCTCATCAGCTTCATAAGAGCAACTCTTATTATAAAAGTCTAAGTAGGTAAAGTAATCAATAAAAACTTATCTCTCTCCTATTTTTGATATTGTGTTTTAAAATATTTTTAAACTTTAAATTTGCTTCTAATTGTATCTTAAAGTACCTGTAAATTGATGGTGCACAAGCTTCACTCTTCCAACTAAAAGTAAATTGGAAGAAAAAAAATATATATAACTGTTTTTCCAATCAAAATAATAATAAGCTTTAAAAAATCACTATAATTATGACATTACAATTCCACTACAAGAGTTATTAATTCAACATATCAAAAGTTTTTCTTTAACTGAAATGTTGAAACAAAACTATATCAAAAGTGGTTGTCTTTTTTTGTTTTGTTTTTTAAGTTGAAAATGTAAGTCAGTTACATGCAGTAAAGAAAATAAATATTTTTTCTAAAAAAGTAAAAAATTTGCTGTAACTTATTTTTATAAAAAAAAAATTAAAAATATAGTGTGCAAACTTTAAACGGCTTTTAATTAAAAAAATATTTTACATATACTTTGTGTCTTAATTTTCCAGACAAATTGATTTTGTTTTCATTACACTAAGAACATCAATTGATAAAACAACTAATTATTTGTGGTTGCTCTCTAACTTTTTATTTGAACTTATAATTTTCATTTCTACAAATTATTTAGATGTAGAGATTTAAATATATATACGTCTCAATTAAAAAGTACCATTAAGAAATCTTTGGAGTAAAAGCATTGCTGAATACAGCTACAAAAAATTTAGGAAAAATTTAAAGTGTAACACATGGTTGGCTTTCATCAATATTGGTTATTGCAATTACATAAATTTTCAGGCTTGTGTGCTCAAAATAGGCTTATAAACCTTCATCAAGTAGAAGAGGACAGATAGCACCAAGACTTCATCAATATTTATGAAGTTATAGTCATTTATTTAACAACATATGGTCTATCTAATAAGATTTTGAAAATTTTCCTGTATTAAAACATCATTGCCAACTACAAAAATTTAATTTATTGGATTAAGCTTCACATGAGCTGTTATTCAAATTCAGTCTATGATCTTGACTTCGAAACTTTAATTATAACAACCAATAAAATAAATCCTGTTTGCTATTTCTTAGACGTAATGTTATTTAACAGCCATTAGAACTGAACTCTGTTAAATATTTTTGTGCTTTTAAAATAAACATTATTCATTGACAATGAATAACAAAAGAAAAGTCTTGAGAAAATTATTCAAACTACTATTTCTTTTTATGTTACTACTTAATAAAAGTGAATAAGTAGTGTGATCTATAACTCTCCTATAAATGAAGACAGAATAACCTATTCTTATCCTATGTGGTTTTAGGGATAATTTATAGTCAAAAATGTTATATAGATTAGTTTTATTATTGAACTTATGTTTACTGAGTACTCTTGTGAAAATCAGTCTCTTTTTAAGCATTGATAACCTTTGTAAATATTTTTACAAAAGTTATAAATTAATTTCTGGTTTGAAAACTCAATTTACCCTTTATTATATGAAGTGTTGTTAACAGGTGGTTTTAAGTTAAAACATACAGTATTCACTTTTGCTTAAGACTTTGTTGTACTCTGGATGTATGTTATTTAGTGTAAATGGCTGTATAACCAGCGTAACACCATATGCTTAGAACAGAAATTAAACATTTTGAAGAAATTGAATAGAAATATAATATTTCAATCAAAATAAATCCAATATTTATATGAAAATTTAAGCTATAATTTTTTGTACTTACGATATAGCAACCTCAGATTATCATTACAATATTCATTTGAACCACATGAATTGTTATATACTGTTGCATCGCCTCAAGTCATTAATTATAAGGATTTATTTACCTAGCACTCACATTAACCTGAGCAAAAGGATGAAAAGCAAAACAAAACAAGGTACTATTAAAAATGTAGTTGATGATATAAAGATAGAGGCAAAATTACCATTGTCCGCAACGAAAAGTTTAAAGAAAATTCCAGGTTAACCAAGTATAGCACAGATAGCAGTTCATAAGCAATATATATGTATTTTTTTTTTTTTTTTTGCAACAGTAGCACTGAGTTGAGATTATTATTTTCTGGTACAGAGCCAGTACATGGGTCCCAACAACCTAAGATTCTTTTTTTGCTGCATTGGAGCATTTTTGTGCTGTTATTTAACAACTAAATACAAACAATGAAGAATTTCCTCAAACCTTCTCAATTGACAATACTAGAATTAGATTAAAAGAAAAAACTGCATTTACCATACCATAGCATTCAGTTTCTATTATGATTAAAGCATAGTAAAATAACAACCACCAAATGTTGACCAGGGGTGTCATAGGGATTAAAGTTTCACAATTTCGTGACCAAAAAAAATATCTTGTATTAATACACTAAAGAGTATTTAACAGACTACCAATTTTAGTTTTTTGTAATAACAATTAACAAAATGTAGTCATAGTACTGCTATTTGTTCAAATTAAAATTTTAAATGGTCTTAAATGAAGCTTTTAGAAAAAGTAATTTTTCACAAAGAATAAAAAGCAAATAACATTTCAAATGTAAATTGTAGATTTTTAAAGCTTTATTTTTTTTTTCAATAAAAGTCATTTTCAAAATATCAATCATATTTACCCTAATAAGTATTTTTGGAGTAACTACACATTTTAATTATTACTAGAAACTTGTTCATTTATTTATTACAAAAAAAGATATAATTATGTGGTAATTTTGTTAATAATATGTAATAATAGATCAAATTTCTGTATTTTAGGAAAGGTGCAAGCTTTAAACTTCTGTTGATTCTAATTAATACAATTTTTGCATGGATAAGAATGTTGTAGACATGATTTTTGTTTAATATTTTAATTGGTTTAACATTTAAACTCTTATGGAGGAAGAAGAAATGTTGTTCTAATAGAGTTTTATTTTAAAATTCCTTTATTTATGTAAGAATCAAATAACACAACAATAAACATAAAATAATAATATAAATAAACAAAGCACAAAAAAATGTAAAAATCTAAGTTAATTTTTTAAAATCAACAAACTTTAGGGTTTACTTCATTCCACTTAATAAAATGTACCAAAATAATGTGCTTAACCTCATAAGAACATCAAAAATAAATAAAGATTTATATTATAATTTCTATAACACTATATTCTGTCCCAATCGTGTAATACCTATCTCTTTGATAAATATATGTTTTTAACAATTTTTAATAAAATTCTCATAGTGACTTTAATTCTCTTTATATGTTAAAAATAAACTCTTAAGAAAATATTTTATATGAAATTCTACATTTTTATGAGCAAAACTTTTTTCCAAAAGTTAAGTTGTCCTGCAAAAAGTTTTCATCTGAAACAGAAAAATATGTTTACGATATATGTATATGCAAATATATGGTGAAAAATTTACATGTATCTTGAAAGGTAATTCAGGTGAAATTTTCAGAATCGATATATTGCATACATAGTTTCAAAGCAAAGACTTTTAAAAATTGCAGATCACTAAGTACTAGTATATATACTATATATAGATACCTTTTATTTAAAATTGATATTTTAAGTTAAAGAAAGAAAGATATAGAAGTCTATTAATTTTGAGATCTAAGGAAAGTAATATAAGATTTCAAAATCCTTTTTCCTTAATGGAAAATATCTTATTATATTATACAATATGTTACTATTAAGGCCCGGATTTTGATGACATTTGCATTTTTCGTCCTTTAGAGCATTTTTTGAGATTTATAGGGCATTTTCTTTAAATTTTGGGGCGTATTTTGCATTTTAAAGCATTTTCTAATTTTTACTATTTTTTATTATTACACTGGCCTCCAAACAATGAAGAAAATCTCTAGGATATTAAAAGGTGAAGCAACATCTTTTCAAATTGAAGAAGAATTGTCAGTAAGTGAGACCGTCTTTTTCAAGTACGCACCGATAACATCAGTAGATGTTGAAAGAAGCTTCTCCTGGTATAAAAATTTACTTTCAGACAAGAGGCGCTCGTTTACGTTTCAAAAGATTAAAAAAAATTTACTAATCCACTGTAATTCTGATATTTAGTAATATTATGAGATGGAAGTTGTTATATTCATTTAAGTTTCCATACAAAATGAAAATGTTTTGGAGTCAACATATTTTCCTTTTTTTTGTTATTTTAGGATATAAAACATATTTTTCAAACTTTAATGAACGTAGAACAAGTATTGCATTGCTTTATATTTTTTGAAACGACTCATAATAATTTTAAAGAGTAAAACATTGTTTTAGTTCAATATTTTTACTTCTATTTAAGTTATGTCATAAGGCATTTTTAGCGCAATTTTCGCATTTTAAGGGCATTTTTTGCAGTTTGTAAGGGCATTAATTGAGATTTTTTAGGTCATCAAAATCTGGGCTCTAGTTATTATAATATCTCATTAATAGTTTAAAATTGTTAACTGAGTGAATCCATTAAAAAAATCTTTAAAGCTGAAATAAAAAATGTTAAAGAGTTCTCCACCCTCCAAAAAAATTATAATAATAACAAATAAATAAAATTTGTGTAATAACTATTTTTGTTAAGTTACAATAGTAGAGTTATAAAATATTTTGCAATAATTTATTCTAAATCTGGTGCAGTAAATTATAATTCAATAAATATTATTTTTTAATTGTGAAAAAGATAAGCCAGTTAAATCTATTGAATAAGAAAGAAAATTAATAAATTAAGACCTCTACAGATCAAACTTGACTTATTTAAATAATCATTAACACAATATGTATCAAATTTAATTTAATGCTGAAAGTACAATTTTTTTATTTTCTGTTTAATATTTGAATCTACATTTGGCAATCGTGTAGCACTACGCACTCCTCTTTCTATATCTTGAACAGTATATACTCCAGACTTTGAAGCAACTAAGTTAGTAACATGTCCATGATTTGTCCCAACACGGCCAACTCTACCACAGCGAAGTATATAGTCAGAAGTATTATTAGGAAAATCAAAATTGATAACATGTTTAACTCTTTGTGTATCTAAACCCCTGGATACAAGATCTGTACAACATAGAATGTCAAATTCCCCTTCTTGAAAAGCTTGCCAAACTTTTGATCTTTCTAATGGATTCATAGCACCATGCAGCTTTTCACAAGAGATACCATTATCCTTAAAAAATATTGTCATCCAATCACAGGTAGGCGATTTATTACAAAATATCAGTGTAGGCTCCTTTTTTTGGTAGCTTGTTTTAACAAGATGCAAAAGTTCACCTGCATAAGTATCTGCATTTACTCTCCAAAATTTTTGTTCAACGTGAGGTTGTATTCTGTGTAAGTAATTTGAAGATATTTTAACAACATCTTTTTCAGTGAATAATTCTGTATAAAGTTCAGAAATGTTAGAAGGGTAAATTGTACTGACAAATGTCACTTGAGCACCTTGGTGTTTTCCCTCAAATTTTTCTGAGCTTGAGCGTATATTTAATGTTTTAAAGACAGAAAACAAGTCATAAATAAAAGATTTGTCTGTTAAAGTATCTGCTTCATCAAGCACTAAATGTTGTATATTAGATAGCTTAAACACTCTTCCTTTGAGTTTACTTAAACTGCCAAGTGTAGTAACAAGAATATCGACATCACAATATCTGGATGGTTTTAAATGTGTTAAAAAAGTTCCTTCAGATAACAAAACTTTCACAGTGATGCCCGAATCATAACCTAATTTAGAAGCAATATCAGCAACTTGTTCCGCTAATTCCCGACCAGGGACTATAACCAATCCTAAAGGTGTATTAGGATAAACTGGGGTCTTCTGTTTGACTTTGGATATTAGCTGAATTAGCGGTGCCAAATAAGCAATAGTTTTTCCACAACCAGCTTCTGCACACAACATTACATTTTCACCCTCCAAAATCTTAGGAATCGCAAGAATTTGTATTGGTGCAGGAGCGCCAAACATAAAACGGTTTTTCAAGCTTGCACAAATTGTAGAATTAAGGTTAAGATCGCAAAACTCTGTCTTGCAGTAAATATCAGGATCGTTTTCTTCATATTCGATTGGAACAGAAGGGTTAGTGTCGTATGGTCGAATCGTAAATTTTTGTCCAGATGTTTTAGCTTTATACCAAAATTTTGAAAGCAGGGGTAAAGGATAACGATCGTTATACAACTGTCCAAGATAATGATTATATTCTCCCTCGGTACAAGATATGACAGGAATGCTGGTATTTCCCCTGTGTAATATTTTTCTTCTTAAAAGTTGTTGATGCACAAGATCTTTTGACTTCTTTTTTTCTACATGCTTTGTCACATATTTTGGTACTCTTATTATAGGCACAGGCAAGGTTGATTGGGAATAACCACGCCATAAAATTATAACCAAACTTTTTCTAAGAAGCATTTCTGAATAAAGATTTTATTGAAGTAATTGTTAGAATTTTGATGAAAAAATAAAATATTAAAATGCGATTCCAGACCATGCAAAACGTAACCTTGTTTATTTACTTTTTCTACTACAGTTCTACGATTGCCATTATTGATTTCTAAAAGTTGCTTCCGAGTTTTGCATGACTATTTTTAGAACGAAAACTGAAAACCCTCGACTTTTTCAGTTATTTCTTCTCTATGTGTATCGGAATAAGACAGAATGGAAGTATAACTTGAACGAAAACTGAAAGAACTGATGCGATTCATAAGTGAAAAGCTTATCTAGTTTCAGATATCTATACCGAAACTAATAAATAGCAATTTATTTTATATTAACAAGAACAAGTAGTTGAGTTTGAGAGTAACTCTGCATCATTACAGAAGATTGCAGCAGCTGATATTTTGATTTTTTAGATTGTGTTTGAACTTGTAGAAATTAAGTGTGAACCATCTAGTGAAAACTCTTAAAGAATAGTTCATATTCTTAAAGGTAATTTTTTCATAGTTATAACTTACACTTCAGTTCTGACAACATATTTCTATGCATTTTCAGCGCATTACGTATTATTTCCGTTTACCGAATTGAAAGTGAAACATCGTCATTATTATTTAGTATTTCAACTTTTATTAAATTTTCTTTAGTATTTCAACTTTTAATCAAATTCTAATGAAATATTATTGTAAAGATAGTAGACTAAATAATTGGGTTAAAAATTATGTTGTAGATTTTAAGTTTATTTTAATATGCTCGTTTTGATCTGTAGGTATTGCGATGGTGTCATTTTGTAACCTTTTGCAAATGCGTTGGCCATATTTGTTTATTTTTAAGTATTTTTAGTCTAACAATTGCAATCTAGAAAAAGGCATTACAAATTTATGTTTCACAGACCCAAAAGTCAAAGTAAAGACCACATCAACTCTTGAATATTTATTACCCCATGGTTTTTTAATGCTTACTGAATTATTACTTGATTACTGAAATTATTACTTGAAACTTCTTTCCTAATAAAGTTCACTATTTTTACAATGCATCACAATTCAGGCAATTTTAATTCATGCCCATTTTAATCTTTTTGTTATTTGGAAGATTTAAGTTGGAATTTTGGTCACTTATATAAGGAGTATACTCAGCTCTTTTTTACTGAAATTTCAGCAAACTATTTTTGCAGTTTTTGATATTTTAGTACATTTTTAGTGATATTTTATTGCATATCATAATTTCCGGCAAGTATTTTGATGTTGTAGTAGATTTTTGAAGAATGAAATCGTATTTTTAACTATACATTAGAATTAGTTTTTACTCATATTTGTTCAAAAGTTTGTTCTTGCAAATTGCTTTATGTTCTGGAGGACAAATGAAAAACCGAAATTTGAAGAATTGAAACTAAATTACTTTTTACTGAGCCTTAAGTTTTTTACTGTTGCTTTTTTAAAATTATAATTCATTCAAGTCAATTTTTTTTCTTCACTCTGTTCTGAGAATTGCAATGTATTTATTTTTTGCTGTATTTTACTCTTTTAGTTTTTCAGCTTTAAAATAGATTTTCAAATCTGTTTATTTACTTGGTACTACTTTTAGCAGGAGGTCACTATTTTTCTGATTATCATCTGTTTAATTCGCTATTTACCCACCCCAATGGTTATTTTAAATTCATTGAATGAAAATAAAACAGTACTGAATTAAATATTAACTTTATTATTTATTGAATAAATACTATGAGCTATTGATAAATAGTTAGATCTAATTATATCAAAATTAATATAACTAGATCAAATTATTAAAATCCACTTGGGTTTTTTTTACAGGCTTTTTCAGGTGGATATTCTTTAGGTATTTTTGGGTTACATAAAATCATAACCCTGCATGACAATCAATGCGAAAAGATTAATATAAAATCTTTTAGCATTATATTTCAATTCCTTGGTAAATTCATTTCATAAGAAATAATTTAAATGTAGCATTTCAAAAGTGACTTACGATTTTCTCCTGTTTATTTCAGCTTTTTTCCACAAATTATTTAATGGTTCAAATTTCTTTGTAGAAATTTTTATACAGTTGAACCAATTTCATGTTTTCCTCCGGACTAGCGTTGAAATTATTTCTATTAGAAAAAATGTGTAATCTTTATTTGTTTTAAGATCCAATTTCAACAATATCCCCCTCAATACTTCCTGTTGGCTGCAAATTTGCTTTTCGGTTAACATTTGCCAATATATATTATTTTATAGTTTTTGCTTTGAAACTCCTGATCAGTTATTTGTATATCCTCCAATATTTATTTACTTTTTTTTATCCTTTTCATCACATCGAGAGCTGGCGTTAAATCAGATATTGAAGGAATTGAAAATTAATGTATATGTGTGTTGCAGTTGATATATGTGTCACCGACTTTGGAAAATCTTCACCCATGAAATTTTATTCTTAAGAGTCAATGTTTTTGTTGGGTATCGAGAAGACAACTTGACTAAACCCAAATGTATGTTGACACTGTTTAGCACTCCAGAAATCTGATTCAGAGCTTCCAGAAAATTATTTTTGCTTTACGTATATTGCAAGTCACTGGAATCAAGAAACGCTGAAGATTGATTAAGCAGTTGTTCAGTGTAATGTTCTTTAAATGGTTGAATTATTCAAAGATTGGAGTTACCTGGCAAAATTACAATTTCAAATTTTACGATTTAAGCTCTCTTATTTCCTTTAATCACCCTTCCTTTTATTTATCCCAATTGCCTTTCTGATTTTGACTCAAGATGAAAATTCCCTCTTACAGACAAAAGGGCAAAGTAATAGAATAGAAAGAATGTCAGACCAGCTTCAAACAGCTAATAAACAAATCTCGTCTTTAAAAAAAAAAAAAAAAAGTCTGAAAGTTTGTGCAAGGTTTGTAGAGAGAAAAAAACATTTTTTTATCTGTCAGCAAAATGAATAAAACAGAATTTTCTAAAAATGGGTAATGTGAAATCCAGAATAATTTAACATTATTGGTATTGGCAATTTTCACTGACTAGCATAAAATGAAGAAGGAAACGAGATAGCGTGCGAAACAGATAAAACTGCTGTTTCACTGTATTTAATTTTCTATATTAAAGTTAGAATCTAAACTCTGTATTAGGAACATGATATAATTTGGAAATAACATAATTAATAATAATTTTTTATTAAGCTAATATAAATAAAAATAGATTTTTGTAAAATTAATTATTTTCATACATGGTATTTATGATTTAAATCAGTTAGTTTACATTTTAAAAAAAAAAATATTTTTACTAGTAAACAAACAAAAAAAATACAAGAATTAGCATTATTTATTTGCTTATATTGCTCTAAAATTATTTTTAAAAAATTATTGGGCTTTCTAGTTACTCATTGAAAAAAAAGGAGAGATAGCTTATAAAAAATTGCAGATTACAAATATTAATTTTTAGTTGTAATATTTTATGTTTTTAATGTATTTATTGTCAGGATATGTACAAGATTGCAATGAAAGCAAACATGAATCAAGCGTTACAGAAGGTACAGACTCTTTCTGTAGCTTAATTTGTATTTGTTTAAATTTTATTCTAGTTATCACAAAAGTGTACCTTATCTCCTTTCGCATTTCACAGAAGTGTTATAGTTATTTTTAACTATGATTTATAAAAAGAGGATAATAAATATAGTAAATAAGTCTAAGAGTGACTGAAATTTTCTAATACCATACACCACCAACAGGGGTCTGGGGCAAATTTACTACTGTTTAGCGGAACCTTCACAAATTTAACTTTCGGAAAAACAGTAGTTTCACAAAATAATTTTAAAATGTTCTCATAATGAAAATAACTTTTAGTGCTAGTACTGTTAAATGCATTTTTTTTTTATTAAATTCAAATTGAAATTTATCTCTGGCAGGGTTGGGGTTTTGGACGTCCTAAACTGGTTTTGGACAGGACACGTGGGTTTTACTGTCTTAAACTGGGTAAAACTGTCTTAAAGTGTCCAAAACCTTGGTAAAAGGTAAAAAATTCTATAGGTGTAGCCATTGTACATGTAATAATTACATGTATCAATAAATATTTGATATTTTTTATACAATTTACTATAACTTATTAAAAGAAAATAATATAATATAATAGGAAAAGGTTTATAATTTTTGAAGCTCCACAGTTCATTGAACAACAAAAGTGAATACCTAATCCTTTAAATATAAATATGCTTTTAATACTGATAAATAATATTTTTGCATAAGGATAAATATGGCAATATTAAAAAATAATAATTTTTCTTAAAAAAAATACTAAATTTGTACAAAAATTAACCTTTTATTTTTCACAATATTTTTTTAAGGAAATGTTATAATTTCTGCATCACAGGATGATAAAAAAGACATCTATTTTAAAAAAAAAATTTAAATATAAATATATTAGTTTAAATTGAAAATACAAATACAGTTTTGAAGGGCATAACATCAGTTTCAGTTACTGACACTGGTGATGTATCACCACTATGCTAAAAGAATTGAACCTGAATGAAATAAAAGTATTCTTAAATAGTACTACAATAGATAAATAAACCTGTTTATGATGAACCAAGCACTTAGTCTCTAATATTTTGACCTGTATGACAAGGCCAAACTTCAGTTATATACTAATGAATGAGAGGACCAATTCAACTTGATTACTGATTAGTCTTCCTTTGTTTAAATTGAAGAGTCAAACAATATTAATAATACATTATCAGGGGTCTGTCCAGACATTTTGTGAAAGGTCCGTTTTTCGTGAAATTGTGAAAAAATTACTCAATTTCTTTCAACCAGGGTCCGCTTTTATGAATTTGTGCAAAGAGGGTCCGTTATTGCAAAAATAATTTTTTCAAGGAGTTTTTAAATTGTATAGACATACAAGATTATGCTCAACACTGTAAAATTGTAATTAAAAAAATTAAATTTTAAAAAATAAACAACAATTGCTGCTTCTAAATTAGAGATGCAACATACAAATATTTGGTATTTAGCCTATACTGCTGAAAGCAGAATATTAATTTCGGACGAATAATGGAAGAATCGTCTGCCGAAGACAAAACTTAATTCGTTTACATCAATCTTTCTTGTTTTCTGCCCTGGAAAGGGTTTTTTCGATTAACAAAATAATAATAAAGATAAACAAATTTGTGAAGGGTCCGATTAAAAGAAAAATCATTTTGTGAAGGGTCCGTTTTTAAGTTAAAATATTTTGTGAAGGGTCCATTTTTATGAAAAGATAAATTTCTTCTAAACAGACCCCTGATTATACTTATAAAAACAAATATTATCTAGTATATTTAATTATCAATATGTTATTAGTTCTATGTTTATTTTACCTCTTAAATATTGTTCAAATAAAATTGTGACATAATTTGAGTAAAAGGGTTTTGGACAGTTTAAGACAGTTTTGGACAAAGAGGTTTTGGACAGGACGGTTTAAACCGTGGATTAATCCATTTTGTCCTAAACCTTGCCAACCCTGATTTGAAAC